AGTAGAAAGTAATATAGTCGAAGTTAATTTTAATATTATTAAAATAGGGTTATTTAAGGATATAATCCTAAGGAACTTAAAGTATATTATATACGACCTAAATATTAATTAGAAGGACGGTGGCTATTTACGTCCTAGGATATACTTAATTATTAATAGAGAACCTGGAGTATGGAAGGAAGCGGGCAAAGTAGGTACTATTCTTATAGCCTTACTATAAAGAGTATAAAAAATTATAATTTATATTATTAATAAAAGTAGTAAAGTTATAGAAGAAGGGTTAATAATATTAGTAAAAATATCAGTAATTAATATTTAATATAAATTTAACTATTATTAAAACTAATAGGTAGAGAAGCCGAAGATAATAATCCTAATAAATTACTAAGAGTACCCGGTTTTTATTAGTAAGTACTTTAAAGAATTATTACTATAAAGATTGTAGGACTATAAAATTAAGTTTACAGAAGGAACTAAATTTATATTCTTTAAAGTATATTATACAGATAAGAAGTAAAATATAGAATTAAAGAAATACTTAAACGAAATTTAAAATAAGGATATATTTAGGAATTTATATTGCTAATAGGGTACCCTATTCTCTTTGTATTGAAAAAGGACGGAAAACTATACTTTTATATTAATTATAAGTAATTAAATTAAAAGACTATAAAAATAATTATGCCCTACCCTTAATTTTATATACTTAAAGTTAATTAGGAGGAATATAATACTTTACGCGCTTTAATTTACCTATTACTTATACCTATATCCGGATTAAGAAAGAAAATAAATAAAAGATAGTATTTCGTATACCCTACCGATATTACGAATATTTCGTTATACCCTTTTAATTAATTAATATATTTATAATATTCTAATCCGTTATCGATTATATAATTCGACCCTACTTCAATAGAATCGCTATCTACTACCTAAATAATATCCTTATTTACTTTAAGATTCTTATAGAATATAAGAAATACATAAAGAAAATATTAAACGCACTATATAAATATAAATTCTCTATTAATATAAAGAAAAGTAAATTCTATACAAGAGAGACTATATTCCTCAAGTATCTAGTTTTAGAGAATAAGGTTAGGATAGAACTAAATAAGGTAGAAGCTATATAGAATTAATTTAAACCTAGAAATATATTTGAAGTCTATAGATTCCTAAAGTTTATTAATTTTTACTATATATTTATATAAGACTATAGGAAGATTATAAAGCCCTCATACGAATTTACTAAAAAGGAGGCTACTTTTATATAAGTAAAGGAGGAAATAGAAGCCTTTAAAGCTATTTATAATATAATTACTATAAACCCCGTCCTAAAACTCCCTAATTTAAATAAGCCTATTGAAATCGAAACCAATATATTAAATTATACTATCGGAAAATAGTTAGAATAATACGACGATTAAAGAAAATTGTATCTTATAATTTTCTTCTTAAAAAAGTTAGAAGGACTTCGTTATAACTATCCTATCTACAATAAGGAACTTCTAATTATTATTAAAGTATTTTAAGAATAGAAACTATACTTTAGTAGGACTATATATAAAGTATAAATCTATACTAATTATAATAACCTTTAGTACTTTATAATTATGAAGGTATTTAATAGTTGTTAGATATAATAGGTTAAATTCTTATTAGAATTTAATTTTAAAATTAATTATAAAAAGGGATTAAATATCACCTGAATTAATATTTTAAACCGTTAGACGGATTATATAAAGAATATAACCGAAGTATTTATATTACTATTCTAGGAATAATTAGACGGGATATTCGTATATCCTCTATAGGAATAGGAAGAGTATTACGCCGTCTACCAGGTTAAATTATAGGACCCTAGTTACTAAACTATTATTATTATTTAAAAAGAGCGATAAAGATAGGAACATAACCCGGAAGAAGGAATCGTTCTTTAAAATAATAAACTATAGTACTATAATAAGGCCTATGTTTAGTTAGATTAATACGAAGCTCTTATTATAGGAATCTATATATTTAAAATAGGGGAATATATAAATATTATTAAAATTATAGTATGGATACAATAATACTACAATTTCCTAAAAATAAAAACCGAAGTGGTTTAAATATTATAGGCCTATAAATACTATAGTAGGATTAGGGTTATAAGATATAAGCCATTTAAATTCTTCGAACTTTTAGAAGTTATAAAAAGGCTATAGAGTTTAGTAATTATAAACTTTATTACTAAGTTACCCTTATTTATAAATATTACTACGAGGATTATATATAATAGTATATTAATAATAGTAGATAGATTAACTAAGTACAATTACTTCCTACTATATAAAGAAATATAATTAATAGAATAATTTATAGATATAATCTATTAAAATATTATTGTAATATACGGCTAGCCAAAGGAATAGATTATAGATAGGGATACTAGGTTTATATCCAAGTTCTAGCAAGTATTAATAACTAAATTCAGTACTAAAAGTAAAATATTAATAGTATATTACTTATAAATAGATAGATAAACGGAAAGGATTAACCAAATTATAGAATAATACTTAAGGAACTATATTAATTTTAAGTAAAGTAATTAAGTAGAATTACTACCTATAATATAATTAGTATATTATACTTCCCTTACAGAGATTATAAAGGTATTACCTTTCTTTGCTAACTATCAATATAAATTAGAATTTTTAAAAGGATTAAATACGAACGTTCCTAGAATTTTAATTAAAGTTGGAAAGCTATATATATTATACAAAAAATTTAAAAAAGAGTTGGAATACGTCCGATAAAAGATAAACCAATATTTTAATTTCAAAAAGTTCGAGGGACTTTACTTTAGGGAGGGGGATAAAATCTTTTTATTAACCAAAAACCTTAGGATAAAAAGGCCTAATAAGAAACTTTATAACCGACGGGTAGGATTATTTAGAATTAAGAAGAAAATTTCTAATATAGTATACTAATTGGATATTCTTAATATTATAAAACTAAAATTATATTTATTCTACATCGTATTATTAGAGCTAGCACTTAAAAATATATAAGTCAATATATATATTAGTATTAAGGATGAAGAAGAAGAATAAAATATAGAATAAATTTTAGATTCAAGAATAGAAAAGGGAGAATTGGAGTATTTTATTAAATAGGATGGATTCGGCCCTAAAGATAATATATAAGAACTTATTAGGAATTTAAATTGGCCAAGGCCGAAGGATCATTTAATTAAGAGGTAGGGTAAATTAATATATTTAACAAAGCCTAACCCGTAGGTGTAAAAATATTAGAAGTAAACGCTTCTACTAGAAGCTCTTTAGAAAGAAGCTTGGGCTCTCCCCTAATTACCCTTTCCTTTACCTCCTAAACTTCTAATTTAATTATAGCAACTTAGGATATACTATTAACTTCGGCCGCTAATTCCTCCTAATAGCGCTTTACTTCGAATAGGCGAAGGATACTATTATATATTATTTTTAAGAGTACCTCTTACTTTTATTTCAATTTCTCATTTTCTACGACTATCTATACTATTATAATATTAATAAACAACTAATAAATGAACGCTAGGCAATTTATATACCGAATTATAATTAACTTCTTTATAAGAATGGACGCTATGAACGTATTCGTTATATTTCGGATACTTAGAAAGCTTCTTATAAATAAGCTTATAATTAGAATAATATTGGTAAAGTATAATTATAGAACTAAAGGATTCGATATAAGTTAGTAAATTCCAACGCCAACCGGACAACGTAAATGATTATTTAGAAATATAATTAAATATAATAGCGAATAATAAAAAGAAGAAGAATTTACTATAGTTAGAATAAGGGTAGTATTAGAGATAAGAATAGGGTAAAAATATTAGGAGAACTAATAAAACTATTAAAAATAACGGTTAAGGAGAGAAGGTATTATATTACGAACTTAAATAATATAGGGGTCGCCTAAACCTTCAGGACTCAATAAGCCCCGCCCAAAGTAATTAGTATAACCCTTAGGAATTAGGAAGGGCGTATAAGTATATATAGGCTTACTATCTATAAGTACTTACTAGTAAGTAAGAATTTATAGTGAGCAAGCGCTCACGGGTAAACAGGCGCTCATAGTAAGTAAATATTTACTAGTAAACAAAAGCTCACAATAAGCAGATATTTACGAGTAAGCAACACTACGCAAAGAAGGAAGATATAGACCGTACGTAGGAATATAAAAGGACGATTGGAGAACTCAGATTGTCAAATAGTTCGATAGTAGTTAATTAATTATTATCACCGAAACTAATATTACACACGCATACTTATTGTAAACCTTTTAGCTTCACTGAACAGTACTGATAGTCTTTATACCTTCAGCTATCCCACTTAGGCAGATCAGACTACCGTTCGTCACAAGTTCGGGCGGTTATTAATATTAAAAGATAGTACACTAAGTATTAAAATTAGATACCTTTAATCCTTATCTATTAAAGTACCTAATAACTAGCTTTTGGCTATTTTTATTAAGAAATGCGGTTCTGAGAGACTTTGGGAGATGGGTGGTTAAGGTTAGGGTTTTGGTAAAAAAATGCGTTGGTCGTTATTTTCTGGTACCTACTGTACCTCTACGCGACGCACTTAGTAGCCATTCAGATGATATGAGAGGTTGTTTTTGAGTAATGTAAAAAGATGATGGGCAATAGCAGTCATGGAGCGAGTTTCAGGCGGGATCCTTGCACTATCACCACTTTGTCTGCTCATATTTTTGCCATTTAGTTGGGATTTCTACCTAGGTAATATCACCTGTCTGTGAATACAGGGGTAATTAATTCCAATCATCTCTGTGTTCCTTTGCCTTTAACCCGCACTACATGATTCACACCCAATGTCAATCTCGTGAACCTGCTCCTCCGTTTCCCTCCCCTCATCCCTTCTTCTCGTCCAGCTCCTTCCCTCTCAGTATCTAGGCATATGACTTCCAGTAGTGACGACTTCGCGGTCTCTCCCTCAATGCCGAAGGCCTCTGACACTGCTGGGAGAGAAGACATTGCGACCCCGATCGATCCTTCTCTTGATAACCCACGCCGCCGGAATAATTATGAGAAGCCAAAAGATGGCAGTAGGAACCCTAGAGATCTTGCCGAAGGTCTTGGAAGTGGGCTGCCAGACATAGCGCGAGAGGATGTTCGAACCTATTGTTTTTTTCTTCTCTTTGTCCCAGAAAAGAATGTTGAGCCAGCTGTTGATGTTCGCCTTGACTTGTCCCAACTTGGTGGAAATGGAACCGACAATGCCGGATTCTGACGTGGTGATGGTCGGTCTGATGACAGTGACTTTGCGCTCTTTGCGCCCCTCGAACCAAGGGTGCTCCATGATCTGCTCAATGGTCGCTCTGTCCTTTGGCTGCTACTTGAAGACGGATATGACGAGATCTTAGAACACTTCGACCTCTTCCTTAGGAGGAACGAGCTTGAGATAATCCTTTCGGGTGTAGTAGGCGAGTCTGTCGGGGTTTCGTGGGATTGGCGTCCACAATGGCAGTTGCGCCGGGTTGCTCTTGGCCTGATTGGCGATGTCCTCTGCCTGCGCGGGGCTAATGTTCGTGCTGCGGGGATACAAGATGCGGAAGATTATGGGGTCTTTGGCGCCTCGCTCCTCCAAGTGAAACTTGCGGTTCTTTTCCAGCTCCTCGGGGTTGGCAGTAACATACGACAGCTCTGAGTTGCTCTTGCCCTGTAGCTCCTTGTCTGTTTCGGCGGGAAGCTTGTACCACTCTCGAACTGTAGTTCGGAAAGGAGGCGGCATAGGACCCATGGACTCCTCCATGTTGGGAATGGAGCTGGGGGCGTGGTTGTTGGTGCCGAAGGGCGGAAAGCCGAAGCGAATCTCGAATATAGCGGTGGCCAGCGACCAGATGTCCGCCTTAACTCCGATCAGCTCCTATTGGAGGGTGAAATCTTCGGGGGATATATATAGGCCCGCGACTCCGGAGGTGCACCTGACCGGGTGGTCGGAAGAAGGATACGCGACGCCATAATCAACAACGGCGATCTTTATCGATACCAAGCCAGAGCCGTATGCAATGTCGCCGCAGCCAACCAGGTACTCAGGCACGCTCGGGTTGCCTGTGACAGGCTGCGGCTCCTGTGCATCATCCCATATGACTACCGCAGCACGCTCAGGCTCGCTAAGGACTGCTAGCAGTTGCTCCTCCGACTATTTATTAATACCATCTTTTAATTTTAGCAGGATGTTCTGCGGCCGGAAATCCCCGTGGTAGAGGCCCTTGGAATGAATAAACTCTATTGCCTCCAACAATTGGAAGCAGATGTCCTTCATTATCCCGTCGCATTGTCCAATGTACTTGGCTAGCCCCGTCGTCTCCGGGCCCAGCTATTCTATTATAAGGTATAAATGTCTTCCATTAGGTCCCTCGACCCAGAAACTCTCCATCGGGATCGATACTCCTTTTATCTTTAGTAAGTCCCTATTAATGCCCTCGAACATCTCCATGACCTTCAGATTTGCGTTGCCTCCCTTCAAGTTCGACGCCTTCGCCGACATGACCTTGACGACCCGCCACTTCCACCTCTTGTTGTTGCGTATTTCGTTTATATCCTGATATAGCCAGATAGTACCGAAGCTGCCGTAGCCGAGCTTGTGAAAGACGCGGAAGCGGGAGGGGTTGGTGGAAGGACCGAGGTGGTCGCCGAGAAGGATCGGGTGATGGCCGCCGCGGCGGTATTGGTTGGGGTCCTCGATAGCGGAGGCGGGCCATAGCTCAAACTCGTATCCCTGTGGTGTATCGGAGACTGCAATGCTTGAGGCCGTCGACGGCTTACTGGCAGGCTTGGAGAAAGGGGAGTTGTTGGCGTCATTTTGGGATTCCATGTTGTTGATGGGCTTCTTCTGCGCGGGGGGCAGAGTGCTGGCCGTGGTAGACATTGTCGTGTCGGCGTGCTTGTGGTAATGAATGTTTCTTTTTTTCCTTCTTTTTTTCTTTGTTGCTTGTCGATAGATTTGTTGTCGTGCTACTTGTGATGCTTTGCTTTTTCTTGTATGGTTTTCCTTGTTGTTGTTTCCTTTGGTTGTGGTTTGCGAGCGAAGAGAAATCCGATGGAGGAGTTGGGTTGTGCGCGACCGAATGACTGACGCTCGTTTTGAGGGGGGAGGAAGAAAGGAATTTGGGAGCAAATGGAAAAGGCAAATAATATAAGAATACGACCGTAGATAATTTATCAAGCGGCAGGCAAATGCTCAGGTTTGCGGCGGGTTGTGTGGTGAACAGTGCCGCTGAAATGGTGGGAGACGAGCTATTCACTGCTCAATCGGGTTGAGCCCTTCACTTCCCTTTGCTACTATTAACCTCAAACCTGTACACCTAGCAGGCAATCAATTTACCAACATGTAAACCTGGTGATGTCACTCCGTTTGTCGCTGTTATTCACAAGCTAATTTGTTGATGTACACAGAAAGCAGATCACGGTTGCTGTGGTGGCGGCTATAGGTAAACAACCGAATGGAAGCAACTGCACCGATTGACGCCTACGTGAACCTTCTTCTCGGTAATATATTTAGGACTTCTGCGGCTCTAGATGCGATCTTGATAATTTAAAGTGTTTAGGCACCTAGACATTACAGAAACTTTGAAGTTGTGACTGCCGCTACTATAGTATTACCTCTACGAAACCTCAATACTACAATGGTCGTCAACGCGAAGGGTTGGTTGATATGCATAGGTATATATGTACTAGAACCTTAAGCCCAGGTCAATTGGTAGGAGGTATAGGTCAAGGTTCTGCCCTTTATGGCTGGACCGAACTTTCGGGTTCTGGCGAAGCTTCACCTTCACCCAGCTATCAAGGTCACTAGGTTTAGGTTCTGTCTCTAGTTTAGAGATTGATATTCATTATAACCTTTGTATGTCGCTGAATTAATTTCTTGTCCTTATAAATTCCCTGCACGACTCAAGTCCTTGACCAATTTTCTTCTCTCCCTATCGGCATTTTCGATTACAAGACTTCCCCGTTAGACCATTCCCCTCACTCACCTACGACACTATCGATACCTTCTCTGTACTTATCTTCATTGATTATCAACGATATTCTTCGCCTTCCTCATCGACCTTCCTCTTCGACCTTCCTTACCTTCGACATTCTAAATCGTCTCCTGTAGGTGCATCCTATATTTAGGCATTATTATCTTCCTTTTATATCGGTATATACTAACAACTCTATACTAAAGGCTATTACTGCCAAGATGAATGCGAATAGAAAGTGGAATCCTAACAAGGACGACTGGCCCAAGAGGTCGATTACCTTTCGCCAGTTAAAATATTGACTGGACAACCGCGCTGAGAAGAAGGGGTCTCCGGTCGTATTCTATAATACTTTAGATATAGGAATTGAAGAGTTCCCGGAGCCGGTAACTCACTGGATAGAGAACTGGGCTGGTTGTTCTAGCGAAGTGAAGTCTCCCTAAATGTGATTAAAGGCACTGAGAAGCTTTGTAGAGAAGAAGCAAAGGACATTGGTTTTACGTGTGTGATTATCAGATCTGGTATCTACACTAAAACAAATCAATATAACGAGGATGGAACTGTCCTAACCGAATTTAACGCAAAGAGCGGCTATTATTAGAACGTGGTTACGGACGACGATCCCCACATAACTATCTACATAGGGTTCGGTTTGGACGAGCTGGTTGTCTAGGGACACATTTATATTGTGTGGGATGAGAAGGCCCTCTTCAATATGCGCTTCGTGAAAGACCCTTAGCGAGAGCGCAAGATTGTTTTCGAGGGACGGGAAAAGGTTGCCTCGGAATATTGGCTTATCTAATGCCAGTACTCAAGCACCTTCTCTATTGGGCCAACTCCTCTTTTCCGACTAGGGAACATACCTAATAGTACTAGTCTACGACATCCATCGGCCGTTTCCTTTTGTCGACTTCGACTTTCTTCCACACAGTCTCCGGCAACATCACTTCCTGTCTTTTTTCTCGATTATAGCGTGCTTATTCTCGATTTCGGCCGTTGTTTTTATTCAATTTCCGTCTTCGATCTTTCACCTCGACTTTCCAACTCTCGACTTCGACCGCCTAATTCGCTTCTTCAGCATTAGTATTTTCGATTTCATTCATATCAAATTCGATTATTTTCTCTTCTAGCGAAGTATTGGTGGAGTTTAGGGTTTGCTATAAGCGTAGAAGATGTAATAGTAATGGCGTTAGCGCGTTAGTTTGGGCGATTTTATATTCGGTTTAGTAAGGTCTTTATTTCTAGGGCTGACTGATGGTTTGGAGTTAGATTATTATACGTATTAATGATATAATTGCCCGTTTTCCCTAATTTTTTATTCTACTCGGACGTGTGTGTGAACGGTTATGATGTTCTTCCTTACGGTTTAAGTACGCTACTGTAATTTAGTATTTGGGCCTGCTTAGTAAAATGGCTGGATACGGGATATTTAGAACGACAATAAATATAGAGGTACCAGTGTAGCAGATATTCGTAGTTCACGTCGTTTATAAAGTTGTACGGGTGCAAAGGACGCCTACAATTCACTCAATGGGTGTTTACTTGACGCCTCTATATTTCATCTCCTCGTCTATACCTACTATCGTATCACATTCCTAGCACTAACCCTGAGGATATACCTCGACTACTATTCCACTATGTTTGGCATCTTATCTCTGAGCCTTCCAAGTCACCTATTTGCTGCATGGGGTAATTTGAACACATCGTATCAAGAAGGCGCTGGCTACAGTCACGATAGTACCTTATTTGATACTAGAAGGTATAAAAAATGATATTTCCTGTCTTCCTTAATTCATCTTCCATTTTAACGTCGTATAACTACCTACCTCTAGGTACCTCTACCGCTTTTACCAACCAGGTAGTTCGGATTGCATAGACTATTATGAATCGCAGTAATCATCAACAGTGGAATCCTAAGATCACCACCTGGCCGTTAGGCCGAACATTCATTTCACTATGAACCGACTATGGAAGCAAGCACATAAGTCCAACGAAAAACCGGTCGAGGTTCAGCACTAAGGACTCCTACCTCTAGGAATCTCGTGCTAGTGCCGCTTTGGCTCTGACGTTCCGGCATTCACTCAACACCATGCTGGCCGGCATCACAACCTTAAGAACGCCAGGTCTTTAGCCCAAACGGACCGATGACCTGGAAGTTGGGTCAAGGTCTAGCCCTTCCGACACGTCGTGGATGTATGTATACGGGTTAATTCACAGGACACTCGAGTTCAGGTTCTTCGCCCAACCTTGCGGTTTAGGTTCACTGTCGTCTATCTATCGCCTAACAAGTATTTTCTTCTATCCTTCTAAAAACCGCACTACTACCTCCCAAATTCTTCGACGGAATTTTTCCTACCCATCGACATTTCGATCTTCGTTAATTCGGCAAACATCCTACGTCTCGCCTACCTCAACCACAGCACCGAATCGACTACCTCGATCATCTTAACTACACTCACTTCTTAAACACATCCTACATCTCGCCTACCTCAAGCACCTTAACTAATCGACGACCTCGATCATCTCGACTACGCCCACATCTTCAACAAAGACCTCTATAGTCTCTAGACTTTCAATCAAATCAAATAACCCAACTTCACCTTTTCAAAGGTATAATCACCGCTATACTTCATCAAACTTCCGCGCGCACAACACTAACAAGAAGACAGACCACCTTCACAATACCTATATCACAATACCAGGGTTCGAAATCCCCACCACGAGAGTTTGGAAGCCCGAGGATAGGTACCCCACAAGGGGTATCACACTCGAGAGGCTCTTTACCCGCCTACAACGGAAGCGCGGAAAGTTAGACGAGGAAGTCGAGTTTCAGCGGGAGGCACCCATCTCCCCGGACTACCCGGAAGTAAAGATCTTTTGGGCGGAAAACTGGGCTGGAAGGTCCAGCGAAGTCACCATGGACAGAGTGAGGGGCACAGAAAAGATCCTCAGGGAGGAGGCCCATCGCCTCGGGTTCAAGGTCGTCATCGTTCGCTCCGGCGTCCATAATGAAACGAATCAGTATGCTGAGGACGGCACTGTTCTGACTTATTGCGACCAGAGGACCGGAAGAATCCGAAACCTAGTAGCCGAGGACGATCCTCACATGACGGTCTACCTGGGCTATGATCTGGACAATATAGTCGTGCAGGGGCACGTCTACATTGTCTGGGATGCCAAAGCCTCGTTCAATATGCGAATCGTCCGAGATGCTTCTGATCGGAAAATTGTCCAACCGTGGCGGCAACCTGTCGCTTCCGAGTATTGGTATCTCTAACCAGTCGACCTCGCTGCCATCATTCTCTTAACCATCTGTTTCTCCTTTTCCTCTTGTCGACTTCCCGGCTACGACATCTGGTGTGTACCCAGTGGTGTACCTACTGATCAATTTTCTGCTGTCTCGACCCCATTCCAGCGGAACCGTCTTCAGCTTCCGGTCATCCTATTTCGGAATTCGACTCCACGTCTCCTCCAATCATCGACATTAGAGGTAGAGGTATCTTTTTGCGACTTTTCTTCTTTTCGGCATCTTCCTCTTCCAACGCCTCCTTCTCTCGACAGGCTACCTACCTACCTACCTTTTCTTTCGGCAAATTCCTCTTTCGAAATTCGGTTCTCATTCGGTCTACTAGCACATGAAGTCATGGGTCAGAGCATACTAGCGAGGAGTTAAGGCGTTGATTCCAGCGATTCTACATGGTACCAGGCAGCGTTTTGCGGATGGAATTACGGGACACTGGCGGCCATTTGAACATTTGGAATTTCATGGAACGGTTTTTCGAGCATGTCTGGAGTTCTGCAGGGTTACAAAAATTGATAATTCTTACCTCTTCATTTGTCCTTGCTTTATAGCTTTATTTGTCACATGATGAGTGAAATGGCTAAACCAGAAACGTGATGACGAGATTTGATCATCAGCCCAGGGCTGCATTTGTTTTGGTACGGTTGCGGTACAGAGGATGAGGCCGTATAGCTTTATACGACAAAGCTCGGGCTACCTTTTAGATGCGCCGTATAGCTATTTGCACCCCCTTTATACGGCCAGTATATTACCAGTTTCATTTGGTTGATTTTTTTCTTTCAGGCGGTTTATAAGGTAAAGGCGTCGCACGAGTACGCTGAGATCCTTAGAGCTTACAGGGCATTGCAGGTTGCAGACTACGAGTATACGGCATGTACGGCGTTTTGGGGCTGGTCTGCATTTTGGTGGTTTTGTATGGCGATGTTAAAATTGTACGGTTTTCTGGCTATATATAACCCTAACCCGATTAAGGGGGTCGCAAATTGGATTTCTATACGGCAACCGACCAAATGATTGCTATTTTGTACGGTTATCGTACAGAAATGGCCGTATGAGGCCATTTATACTGCAACCGTACCAAAACAAATGCAGCCTAGGAAAATGCACAACGTACAACTACTGTATATATAGAGGTACACTTCAGAACACTTTCCAACACCTAGAGGTCTGCAAACATGGAGATACCTACTGCGAGAGAGCTAGCCGTCGGAGGGACAAGCCTATGGTATTCGAAGGATTCGCCGACGAAAGCCATGGCTCTCCAGATCATCCTGACATATCCATTTACTGGTTGGAGCACTGGGGCAACAACCCAGTTTACGGAGACGATTCATTCAACAGAGTGAAGGGGACCGAGTCCACAACAAGAGAAACCAGCACGATGCCTTGAGCACCATGACGGCAACCCGGATCTGGTTCACAGCCAGACGAATCCACGAGAGATACCAGAAACACGACCTCTCGACATACTTCACCTCAAGTCAAACCACAGACCCACCGGAGAGCCAGATACCAGCCCAAACCCTGGGACCCGGAGACGGGGTATTACCCGGAGAAGGGTACCACCGTTAGAAAGATTCACAAGAGGTCCTGGCGCAACCGCCACAAGCCGGTGGAAGTCCCGGACTTCCAAGACGAGAGCTTCGGCTCTCCCGATTACCCGGAAATATCGGTTCATTGGCTGGAGGTCTGGGGTGAAAACCCCAACTACGATGTGAAAAAAAGATCTGATGCTGGCCACAGAGGCCATCTGCCGTGCTGAGGCCGTGCGCCTCGATCTGAATGCGGTCGTGATCCGTACCTTACTGGACTGCACAACAAGAAGAATCAGCACGCCGTCGATGGGACCGTGTTGACGTACGAGGACACACGCACCGGGTACATCAAGAACGATGTCGCCAATCCTGATTGACACTTCACGGTCTATATGGGCTATGATGAGGAAAACGTCATCATCCAAGACCACATCTATGTGGCCTTTGACTCCAAGGCCCCGCGTGGGCTGAGGATCATGAATAACCCGTCCGTGGAGAGGAAACACGTCGACCCTGGCAAGGGACACGTGGCTTCGGAGTTCTGGACTGTTGGTTAACGGCCTTTCCTCTCTTCTCTTTTAAGGCCAACAAGGTCCTAGACGTCACTAATAACCGTACAGCCTCGGGCAAACAAATCGAATGGACGCTGAAGGAGAACAGCTCCAAAATCCAGGCAAAGAAACGGCCAAAGATGCCCCTGAGCGGGCAGAACACATCCATCGAAGACATTGTTAACTTGCGACCCCCTCCGCGAATAACGTCGACAACGCCGAGGGAAAGACAACTTCGACAACCGACAATTCTAAAGATGGCACACCGAAACATGCCAACATCTTTGAAACGCTCTTAGCTCGTATCCATGAGTCTCTCCAGCAACTCCATGACCAAGACGAACAGACAAACCGGAGCCAGTCAGGCGCAAAAGACGCTCCCACAACCACTTCTAGCACTTCCCCTTCAGCGCTGTCAGTACCTCCTGAAAACCCCCGATTGTCCGATTCTTCAGTTGTCCCTACGACCGCGAACTTCACCAAGCCCTGTCGCAAGAACAGGAAGAGGATTACCAAGCGCAGGTACCCCTCGCCGGTCCCAGTCAGAGGCACCAAGGCAGAACGCCTGCGCGAATACCTCAAGTACTTCCCCAAACGCCCCTCTCCCTGCTCTTTCAATCACTCTAGCAGCTCCCAAAGTCCATCAAGCTTGGAGAGCAGAAGCGTCACTTCGGAGGTATTGCCCGAGGCCGAAGACGACTTGGACGATCACTAATCCGCCTCGCCTAGGCCCGAAGGCTGTTGATACGCAACAGATGTACACAGGGATCAAGAAAAATGGATGTGATTAGGAGGTAGCAAGGAAGTCGGCGGGTTAGAGGTGTCGGTGATGAACGAAGACCAGTGGAAGCGCAGGGAGGAAGCTTGAGTGTCAGACGTGGGTTCGCCTTCGCTGTTGAAGCATCAGTTCGAGGGAAGCCATTTCTTTGGGACAGATCACCTTGTACCTAGTGACGGTTGCAGAGACCTGGACGAGGAGAAAAGTAATGCCTACTATTTCCAAGAATCATCTGTACGTCTATAGATCAGTAATGCAGCCTTCAAAGTACCTAGCAGATCCGATACGATGACCATGACCCTGGACACTCACCAGGAACATCGCGAAGTAAACACCAGGCTGACTCAGGTCTTTTCCGAGCGTCAAGGTTCGGTCCTTTCGCATGTTGGGCATGTTTTGACTGCAAGGTTGCCTCGGCTTGGCCTTCCCAACCTGGACTTGCAACCATTCACAGGGCTCATCAAGTTCGACCTTGATCCGCCTATTCTTCCTCTCAAGACCTCATCTGCCCTTTCCCCTGAAATCTTTTCTCGCCCCAACCCATATTCAAGAAGGTTGGGTTCCTACCGCCCACAACTTACAACCATATGCCCACCTCCATTTCGTACAGCATATCTCAAACTCGAATCCGACCATCACGATGCAACCGGACTTCCCCAACACGCCTCGACCCAAAACTGGCGGCACCCCGCTGATTACGGAGTTCTTCAAGCCGATTCATCATAGCGAGCCGACCAGGAAAGCCAAAAGGGGACTCGAAGACGAGATAGACAGCCGACCGGCCAAGAAGCTGAGGAGCGCTAGGCATTCCGGCATCCCCTCCGTCGATATCGACAGACCCAAGACCAGGAAGCCAGCGTCTGCTCGCCTTCTTGATGACAGCAATGCCGGCCTTCGCGACAGTCTCGTATACCGGTGCAATTTCTTCGAGGAGAAGACTCTGGATGACGAGGTAGAACCTCGGAGCAACGATATCGAACCCGAAGCCATAACGGCCGACGCTGAGGACACGACCAGGAGACGCCGGTCTAAAGCACCTTCACCTCGACCCAAGAAGGCGCCCACCCATACTCGTCTATTCAATGATACAGATGCCGGTCTCGCTGATCGCCTGGTTGGTCGCCATTTCGTCAAAGATGAGGAGGATGTCATCGACAGGAAAGTGGCTAGTCCCAAACTTGAGCTTACCGAAAGCCCCCTTGCTGTCCGCCTTCGCAACCTTCACAATACACGTAAACCAAAGAAGAGGCCGTCAAGCGCGCGTCTCCTCGACGATGTCGACGGCGGCCTGATGGATGGCTTTGCCGGTCGATTTGAGACCGCTCGGTATGAGGAGAGAATTGAAGAGGACAAAGAAGTCAACGGAGATGGCAATCCCGGGCGCGACGCCTCCACAAACCAAACTCCCACGAACAGTACCTTGATTGGTGCAGCGTTGGTGGGCGATACCAAAGACAACATCAAACCCACGAACAAGTACACGACTCCTTCTCGACCTGCTCCCACTACCCCCAAGCACTACGGCCACAAGGGCTCGAGTCCGAACGAAAAACCTTCAGCCAGTGATAGTCCATCTACGCTCCTCCTTCCGAGCCCCGTGATGGACTTGCCCGCACCATCGTCGCCTCTCTCGTTCAGTTCCTCTCCCGTTGCCTGGCCTTCACCCCCGTCGTCGCAGTAAGGGGCTGCGAAAGGTCAACAACAGAAGGTGAAGAACAAGAAGAAGGCCGAGAAAGGGAAAACGCCACCCAGACCTGAATAATTGAACAAGAAATGATAAGGGGTGAAGGACCAGCGGGCAAGTAAGTCAGAAACCGGAGCGAGGAGTACGTCCATGACTGCCACAGGACATGACATTTAACAGGAGCACGCAAACAATTCCCATAACAAAAGAGCGACGCGCTCTAGCGGCAAGCCAGTTTCAACGAAGCCGGTGTTGGGACAAATTTTCGGAATATGAGAGGTCGGGTCATAGGCTCAGAACGAGTAGCATATGGTCGAGGATTGCCGGTGATGAGGATGTTGAGAAGAGTGGATGGACTGCTTTTACCTCAACCCACATGCCCCGTGGCTCTCTCCAGATCGAGACATGGCGGGAATGGTTCAATCAACCAGAACATCTGTATATATCAGTACATGAGTATCAATTCTTCAAGATGTCCGTAGAACCCTCGCATGACAGTGACAGCACTTACCTTGAACATCGCAAAGTAGCCGCCAAGCTGAGCCAGGATTGTTACCTCTATGCAAGGCTACCTCAGCATGGCCTTCCGAACCTGAACTTGACACCATTCACAGGGCAGCCTTGGGATCTTGGAGGGGCAAGGTAAGGTTCACCCAGGCTGCCTCCCTAATCCCATTCACCCATTCATTCCCAGTTGTAAAATGTAAATGGGGCAAATCTTGCTCTCTCCCTCCTCCAACTTCTACTTTCCTCACCACCGACCTCTTCATCCATACATCCATCATTCACCCAGAAATCGCACCGACAGCACACAGCAGCTCCGAGTTAGCTTGCTAGCAACAATGGCTGGACGATCGAATCCCCCCAGAACTCCCTCGCCGAAGAGCGGAAGAACCGGAAAGATCACCGACATCTTCAAGTCGGTCCATCAATCTGAACCAAAGCAACCTACCAAACGAGAGCTTGAAGTCGAGGACCAAGATGCTCAGCCGACGAAGAAGCTCAAGCGAAGCGACGATGGGCATGCCGGTAGTATGAAAACGGCCCGTTACCAAGTCGCCATCAACACCCCTGAGCCCAAGACCATGTGCAGAAAGCCAGCCTCCGCCCGTCTACTAGACGACACCGACGGGGGGCTTCATGAAAGTCTTGTCGGCAGACGGGACTTCCTCAAAGAGACGAGCACTGAAGATGACGAAACAGTTGAAGTCCAGCATCGCAAATCGTTCAGACCGATTCATAACCCCGCTGGCGTCAACAACCCTAGGCACAAGAGACCGGCCTCTTCCCGTCTCTTGGATGACACCGATGGAGGTTTAATGGACAGCCTGGTCGGTCGCTCCAAAACTCCAAGGCACGGAGAGGAAGTTCCCAGGTCTGGGGAGATGAAGAGGAATAACGGTTCGATGCACGAAGCCATGGACGACAACGTGCTGGACGATGACACGGAGGCCGAGACCATCAATCTCAATGACAGCGAAAATGAAATGAGCAGCGACCAAGACGGCGAGGACGATTATAGCGAGGTTGACGACAGTGACAAAGAGAACGTCGACCCGCGAAATCGCAATAGAACACCCTCGCTTCCGCCTCCCCCTGCGGCCCACGCGCATCATGGAAGCCAGAACGAGACTGGTGACGCGACCCCAATTAGCCAGTCCTCGACCAGCCCATCGTCGCTCCTTTTACCAAGCCCAGTCATGGATTTGCCGGCGCCGTCACCGTCCTCATTACCGTCTGTACCTCCCTCGACCATGCCATCTCCGCCGTCGACGCCGTAGATCGTTCAGTTGCACTACCTCTTCTTCTTACTCGGCCAGTTTTCGAGCACCACATAATCCGGTGACCAGATCGGCGGTATTGGTGAAAGAGAACGCTGGACCAACTCGAGGAATCATAGAGAACACAGCGTGCAGGATCAATTCCACGACTGCCAACAAGGTCGGCTAGGCAATGTCTTTGGACGAAGATAGGGAGGGAAGCTGAATTCAGCCATGGATGGAGGACGAGCAGCAGAACGGGGAAATTGGAAGCCACAAGCTGGAAGTTCTCGAGCGAGCAAGCGGTGGGAAACTAGTGTTGGAGATTTTGGGGGGTTTTGAGTGGAGTGAAGGGTCGGAGGATTTTTCAGCAGGGGATAACATGTTGAAGAAGCTAGGTATTGATGTCGGACTAACGTCAAGTCGAGGGATAGAAGAGGACAGTGGGGTGTATCTTTAAGCAGGCAGCATGTGAAGATACGTGGCTGGGTCGCTTGACACGCAGATATCTCTACCGAGTAATGTGTAGCTTCATAAGTATCGGGCTGGCGAGAAGGCGTGGAGCTGTCCGTGTCGAGATCTGCTGGAGGTATTAGGATGTGGTTAGAAGAAAAGAGGGTACATGGTATCGCATGAATGCCATTATCGACACATGTCTCAACGTCCAACTTCAATGAATACAGGAGAACACTAACGCCCTAACGAACTGCTAGACGAATGAGCGAAACAGTTTGATCACAATCAGAAAGAGAGCGTAGCTGATCGGCCTGGAAGGCAGGAAGGGAAGCAAAATACGGACGCACCAGACAGCACATAGAAGCGGGCAAGACGAGAAGCTAATAGTTCGAAAGAGGGCCAAAAAAAGGAAGAAAAAAAAGGAAGAAAAAAAAGGAAGAAAAAAACTGAACCAGATGAGAAGACAAGTCAGCCACATCAGTGCTTAATCATATTCTTCTCTCCTAACAGCCCCCCAATATTTGATGTGAATAAAAGCAGGAAACCGCGTCCGTAAGCGGGTCGGATCAGGCAGGCAGGACCCGACCTAAGTCCACTGAACCTAACGGCCAACGCTCCTTCCGCGATACGTCAGCTACCTTACTCAATCCAACCAACAACGGACACAGCAAGAGCGATGCCAACGCTAATTCCACACCACCCCCCGACATTGTCCATGTCGTCCCCCTTCGCAGAAAAGGTACTATGCGCTGCGGATGACAAAATCCGAAAAAAAAAAGTGTGCAATTGACCAAACGAGCTCGTGGAATCGGGAGAAAGCAAGGGAGGCAGCAAGGAGAACCATCAAAGCTGAAACAGTCTGGCCGTGACATATACGTACCTGTAGGTAGGTAGAAATAAGCTTAGCATACCTCTAGGTACTTAGAAACAGCGACAAAATTCTCCAAATATCACACTCGTGGCTCCCCCGTGACTTTTGAAGACCCGGCTTCGTCTTTACATCCTTGGTCCGTGAGCGGCACCCACTGGAGGGACCTGCCGGGCCGGCCGCCTGCAGGAAGCCCGGCATTCGGCAGATGCTCTCGTAATCCGGCCGGCCGGGCCAGATTGTACCATAAACCCTAACGGACCTCCGACGCACAGCGGTACCGACAGCTGCAGTGATGTCCTGTTCGGACATGGGATGAAAAGTAAGGGTCATATTGCGGACAGTTGCGGCATTCACTCGACAGCCTTGGCTGAACGACCTACCAAGGTTTGTTTGCATTTCGCATGGCGGCGACTGTGCATAACCTGGGAAATATATCTTGTGCTGACTGCATATGTCCTCGGAACTTTCACTCTGTTTCCAAAGAACAACGCAACATTGCACTTCATACCACTCATCACCACTTGTCACAACAACAGTCCATCATCACAGCGTCTCATCGATACCTCACCATCACGAATACCTAAAGGTTAGCAGTATGTTTCCTTTAACACTGTAGTATCCTTTCGACTAACGTACCTGACGACAGAAGATCATCAGACAACCACATATTGGCAGACAGCCAACAATATCACCAACCGCACGTCAACACGATCCCCCTTACGACCAACCGACAGAGTCTGGAAGAATTGAGAACCTCGAGCTGACAACACGAGTCGACGACAACCCCTCAAGCAACCTCGACATCACACATCAACGTCCTCACCACCATCACCACAATACCTACCTAATCATGGCTTCCCGACCTACAACCCCCGAGGCCATCACGCCTCGTCCCCAGGCTCCCACGACCCCCATCCGCACAGGCAATCGTGCACTCAGTCCCCCCTCCAAATCGCCCATCGCCACTCCTCCTCCCCACTCTCCCATTCCCTACCTCCCCTGGCGAGACCAAATAACTTGGGACCACCTACTTCACTCGGCACCCATCGTCGACAACTTTGACGACGAATCCGACATCGAGACGCTCGCGCCGCAGACTCCACCAGACAAGATCCTCCTCTCCAAAGAGCGTCAAGCAATCCTAAACCAACGACTTCAAGCCGGGCACGGCACTCATCGTATCCATTATATCGTGTACGACGATTATGTAGCCGACGTCCACGGCAACAAGATCCCGGACTCGCATATGATTTTGGTGACGGGTGATCCCAGGCAGAACGGAGGTATACCTTCCTTTGACGGCGTGGATGTAGAGGAGGGAATGGTCGTTGAGAAACGGGATGGGTTTTGGGGGGTGTATGAGGTTGATTGGGATGACGATGAGGAAGAAGAGGAGATGCCAGTTGAGCAACAAATTTACCAAGTCTTTCTCGAAGGGGCGGGTGGTGATCACGAAGAGGCTTGGGATGTTTATCAGCGATTTCAGGCGCACAAGGAACGACAGGCACGAAAGGGACGAATCTACCAAGTTATGTTGGAGGAGTTGGAGGGAAATGAGGCGCTGGCGCGGGAAGTACATGCGCGCTGGTGCGAGGAGGAAGAGCAGCGGGAAAATTCCGAAGATGAAGGGGAAGAGGGGAGGGATGATGAGCAGCAGGACGTATTTGCCCGTGCTACGATGTGGGCGAGGGCATTCAGAAAGGGGTACGAGATGCGCAACGCGTCCCTCCAAAAGTCGCCGACGAAGTCTGTATCGTCATCTGACGTACAGTTGCGCGACTCGTCAATCCTCCAGAAGTCGCCGACGAAGTCCGTATCGTCTGATGTTCCCGAGGACAGCAATCAGTCAAGCGAGTCGAAGCAAGAGCCAGACGTCTACGATTGTTTGGGCGAATGGGCGGTGCTCTCGAATGGGGAGGGCCCCCGAAGAAAGACAGCCAGCAACAGCATGTGCGAGGGCACCGACAGCTTGATCGATACCTCGATAGAGCAGGACCAAGACGTCTACGACTGTCTCGACGAATGGGCCAGAAGCCTGGAGCAGGACACCAAGCACGCTTCTTTCTTCAACGAGGCCTCCAGATTGGTAGACAACAAAGACAGCGGCAAGCTCATCGATATCGCAACAAAGACGGCCGATGTGTACGAGTGTCTTGGTCTGTGGGCTCAACAATTCGAGAATATTTCTTGATGGCAACTCTCCAGTCGAGGAACGCTTGCCCAAGGCCGTCAAGACGACTATCACCGACATCATAGGCTTCACAGATATCGACGACAACGGCAAAGTATCCAACGAGACCATCGCAACGGGTACGCCAAATGATGCTGCCACTAGGCTCAAGACTTCTGGAGATTTTTTGCATCATCGTCGCCGTTCCTTGACCAGCTTTTGGAAGGTCAATGTAGATAAGTTGGGTGGCCGGTCACTTGAAAGCAATTGTGTATGTGGCAATGGATGAGCAAGATAGACAAATGATGTAGAGAATTTGATAGTCGCCTCCGTGTGCAAAGCTTGGAAGTGCCATAGAAATCCTGATGAGCCGTGATTGTGGGAGAATAAGAACCTGGAAACTGTAAAAGGGACAATCAGGAAACTTGATCTCATCCTTCATCCCGCTTCTTGGTGTCGAAGTTGCCTCCAAAGTGAAGCCGTGATGTGAATGCTCCCGATGCTGTCTTTGCCATGATGGCCAGTGATGCTTGGGGTTTTGCCAGTGATTTTCCAAGTGACGTTAAGGCCTAGCGCCACTCCATGGAAGAGTTCTAGAACCCTATGGCCCAAGATCGTGTCATGTCTCTCGTCTCGTTGTCGCCGGCCAATAGGGTGGTGGTGTAGGGGACAAGGAAAAGGGCCGTTACGGATCGACACAGCCTCAAAATGCAAAATGCCCGTCAATCGGTGAATCCAGTGAATCAGTGATCCAAAAAAAGAAATTGGCACCCTTTCTCGGCCAGTCAAGAGAGAGACGGCAAGTCATGACGTTGGAAGGCGGAAGAAAAGCCCGGACGGAGATGTGTGGAACTGGAGAAATTCCCGTATGTGTCCTTCATGCGCATTATGGTCGGCACGGAAAGGCCGTTCGTGATGGCGGACCGAGGTGACGAAAAAGAGTGGAAGCCGGCAGTGGCGGATACGAAGTGGTGAAGAGGTAGACGGCGAGTCGGCGACGAGATGGAGAACGGGAAAATGGGACGTCAACAGCTTCCATGCTTTGCACAAAAGTTGCAGCATGCAGCACACTAACATATTCTGCTTGGTTATCCAGTCAAAAACTGTTAGTGTCTGGCAGCGCCCATGTTCGGGTTTTTCAGAACAACAGGCAGGAGCGGGTTCGAAAAGTGGACCAGAAGACAGTCAGTCTTGGCTTAACGTATTTCGCAGCAAGTCTCACAGAAATTTGATAGTGCATGATTTGCCTGCTGAACGACGATCCTGTTCGTTCTTTTCAGCCTCCGACAATCATCTCCAACCTCACACATTCCATCCTCTTCGCTCTCTAGACTACACTACACGTATTCCTCCAACAATACGACAACCGCCCGTCGCGCACATATACGAACGGCTCCATTCATAGTATCTCAATGTGACCTCGGGCCAGACGAGTTCGGCCTCCAGGCATTTCCCACCAAAAGCGGGAAGTCCGGCACCGTTTCGCCAACACCACCACACCAAGCCCAGATCGTCAGGGGTCGATCACTGTGGACCAGTCACGGACATCCACTGCTTCGCTTAATCACCTCCACCACTCTTCAGGGAAGCCCCTGAACTACCACCACCTGATACAAGTGCTGTGACTGGCTGACAGGGCACCACCAACACAGTCGGAAAAGTCGCCCGAGCATGGCGCAACACGGACCCCAAGAACATGGCACCAATCTCTGCCACCGGTCATCGATATTAGCGACGCGAGATTCACAATTTGGTTGGCCTGTTTCGAACCCGTCAATCATGGGGGACGGTGACCCTCTAAAAGGGCAAAGCAGAGTCACCACGATCGCATTTCAGAGACACTGGTGATTTGGATGCCCGCGACTGGACTGACGTTGTCCAGAGAGGTAACGTCGGATAACTCTCGCCTCCCACCGGACAGGGCAAGGCCAAGAGAGAGAGAGAGAGAGGCATTTCAAAGCATGACCTCAACCGGACAGGGCAGTGGAGGCCTTGACAGGTCCACCATTGTGTCCACCCATCACCGGGCAAAGCCAACAAAGATCTCTTTCAACTCGTTCCAAGCTGGGTGACAATTCACCCAGAAAAGTCCAAAAGCTCGTGTTCAGCAAGCCCTAACGGGTACAACTAAGGGCGCCACATGGTCGCCGTCAACCAATGGTGGGGATTTCCGCCATCCCGGGTTTGGTGCAATCCAATCCGCTGTGGTTCCTGCATTCGACTTTGTGATGATGATCCGACGGCTCGAGTTCACGTCCAATCATTGCTCGCCATGAGACCCCAAGTGGATTAAGCTAACCAAGTTCTCTTTTTCTCATGGTGTCCACTTTTCTCTTTGGAGACGAGGTCCGCCTACCCATGCTATGAATCGAACAATCCATGACATCCGTGTTCAGCTGAAATCATCCCTTGTTCTCTCCATCCATCTTGCTAACCTTATAACCATACGCTCTTTTCACACCTGCTTCATCCAACCTTTGTTTTCAACCATCAAGTCATTCGCTTTTTTCGACGTCAGTCAACTACACTCGCTCAACACGATTAATCGTCTCGAACCTACCTAATTACACATATCCAACCAAAAAACCAAAACAACCGCCAATATGCGTTCCACCACCACCCTCCTCCAGGCTCTCTTCGCCTCCTCTGCTCTGGCCATCCAGATCACCAGCCCCAAGAAGAACGACGTTATCGACCCCTCCTCGGGCGTCGAGGTGACCTGGAGCACCGTCAGCACCGACCCCAAGTCCGCCCACTTGGTCCTCGTCAACATGGCCAGCGGCCACACCCCTTACTCCAAGGACCTCGGTGCCGTTGACCTGACCAAGGGCTCCGTCATCATCTCCGAGAAGGACGTCCCCAACGACTCGGACTTCCAGTTCAACTTCCAGTCCGTCGACCCCCTCAACCAGGGTATCCTCGCCCAGTCCGAGCAGTTCGAGGTCAAGAACTCCGACGACGACAAGAAGGAGACCACCAAGAGCGCCGCTGCCACCCAGACCACCGCCGCTGCCACTCTTGTCACTGCTTCCGACTCGGCTGCTGCCACCGCCACCTCCGGTGCTGCTTCCTCCGATGACGAGAGCTCCTCCTCCGCTGCTGTCTCCGTCAGCGGCGCTTCCACCCTCGCCACCGTCACTGGCTCTGCTACTGTCACCGCTTCCGGCACTGCCTCTGCCACTCACGCTCCTACCGCCGCTGCTGGCAAGGTCGAGAGCGGCTCTCTCCTCGCTCTCGCCGTCGGCCTTGTTGCCGTCCTTGCTTAAGCGACCGACCTACCTAGACTGGGTAGTCAGGGCACCGATTGATGGGCCGTCAAGTATCTAGGATGTTCGTAGTGGGTATCAGTTCTCTGAAATCCACCTCGTACATCCTACCCGCCCATCAATTGGTGTGACAATAAACAAGGGAGGATGGATGGATAATGTCAACAAAGTGGGTTGTTGCTTGTTGATGGCATGATATCAGTTGGGGTGTATATGTACTAGTTAATTCTGCACTAGTATGTATGGGGTTGTAATAGATGTCGTCTGTGTATGGGGGGAAAGTGGAAGAGATAGACACGCATTGGGATGCCCTTAATGGATTACTACTTAGGAAATATGCATGGGAAAGGCGTTTTTGTCTTTTTTTTCGGTTTGGGTTTGTTCAATTGGCCTTTTCCTCTGGCTTGATGCTTTGGTGATTATGTCTGCGATGTATTGTGATTTTGTTCTGATTCCTTTGCTTCTTCGCGTGTGAATACCCATCTCCTTCCCAGTTGATGTCTTCCTTCCATCTTGATCCATCCTGTTCTACATCTCACGTCCTACATTCACGTCTCGCTTTCCAGTCGCCATCTCATGCCATGCCACACTTGCAACCAAACCACAAGATCCTTCCTTCTTCCAGACAAACAAGCACTCCACCCACCCACAGCCACCAACAATATATGTCATCCAAAAAATTGACCCTTGATTTGTGTATCCCTCACACAACTATACAGAACTGTCCATTACCGCTGATCAGCTACGTATAGAGGTATGAACAACGTACCAACCGTAGATCAAACTTAATTCCGAATCCCAGCCGTTGATCAAGAGATCACCCGGATCATCATAAATGGTAAGTGGTGACAATCATTTATTCATATCAACACAAATGTTCAATGTAGTGTGTCCAAACTCGCAGATGCAGCGAAAGAAGAAAAAAAAAAAAATCAAAACAGGCGGAAACAAGGAAAGAAAGAGAAAAAGAAAAAGAAGGAAAAGAAATGGAAATGAAAGGGAATGAAAAGAAGAAGAAAGGGAATGAAAAGTTAATGTCGCGATGCTTGGCATAGTGGTGAGGAAGTCATCTACTTATCGGACTCTTGATTAAGAAGGGAAGTTGAAAACATTCGATTAAGATTCATCCCCTTCAAGTGCTCCCTCGTCGATTGTACCTCTAATGTTTCTCGGCGGATTAGGTAGATACGGAGGGTCCTTTGCGTAGCTCGGTACCAACCTAGCTTACCTAGTACCTAACCTACTAACCACCTGTAGTCTTCCCAAGGCATTATGAATTTTCATCGATCGATTGCTTTTCTTCAGTCGGTGATTGGGGATCACATGCATTTGAACCACTGCATTGTTCCCTCTACCATTTACCCCTACTTCTACGTATATCCATAACACACACTAGAAACATTGATAGGTAGAGGTACAGACCATTGATCTCGTCCATTCAAGCCAGCCTTGCATACCTAGGTACAGTTCAGTACTGGTTTGTTAATTAGTTCAAGACCTCGTGCCAACTTCCCTATACATTTCCATAGCTCCACTACCTAATGTATGATCTTACTTTGGATACGCCATCTCTAACATTTAGAATGCCAGATCAAATCCAACTAATGCATTTTGGTTTATCCGTGTAAGCGTTGGATTCATTCGAAATAGGTTTCGTCTAGTACACTATGTATAGAAGGTATTGTACTATCGTACTAGCGGTGCTTGGTATACTAAGCTAATGCATGAACTATTATCGGACTGTATTTTCATCCTCCCTAAATCTTGTCAATCACTGTTGTGATTTGGTGCTGGTCGTTTGTCTCAGTAATCAATCGGAGTTTCCGCTCTTTCCATCCATGTTTCTCCGGGCTATGGTAGACGGGAGGTTTGTCTCGACGCTGGACCTAGAGGTAGTTAAGTTGTCTGGGTTGCAGTACCCGACTGACAAACGGATTCCCGTCCAGGAAGTGTAATGATCACTGCAAGGTTGGTTCTCGTTCAATCAAAGTATTGTCATGATGGATCTGTTCTGGTTCGTGATTCTCTTACTCGTTAATTGATTGTTCTGGATCCAAAAAGTTCATGATCCAGACCGGACCCCATCTCCGTCGTCGTACGTTCCTTCCTCCCTGGACATCTACCTACCTACCTACCTTAGTACCTCCGGAAGTAGCTACCCTTGTCTCAGTATATTACATGTCTGGTTGGCAGTAAATGGTACCTTTCTTGCCCTTGATATCTGTGGCTTTCGGTGATACAGGTACTTACTCACCTTTCATTCGGTTTACCAAATCATGATATGGATCTCGCTCCATCTGCTTCACTGTGTCCAGTCGTGTGCACTGAACTAAATAGGGTATCCCTCCCTCCCTTGGGGCCGCTATCTCCCTTCGTACGAATCCGCCGGCTTTGGCGTCAAGCTACGGAAGTTCAATTGAGTCCTTGCCTTGCTGCCCTCGCTCACAACTAATGGTTGCATTTCCATTACTCAAACCCGAGTGTAGCCCAATTTCTCTCACGCGAAAACAACTCGCTTCGTTTCTTCCGGCTTCCGGGACGGGTAGTGAGGGTCAAGTCAAATTCCGCCGAGACAAAAAGTCGAATGGGATGAGACTAGTCTGTCCCTTACTCCGTCCCGTCCTTCATCTCTTACTTTCAGTTCCCAGGCATCAACGTGGGGAGGAATCAGGCGGCAAGAGTAAAAGGAAGGAAACAACTGCCTCTATCCATCATGATCAAACCATTCGTCAGGAAGGAATCGTAGCGCTCCTTCCCTTCCCTAGACACACTTGCCTCAGTACATTCAATGCACCGTACCCTCCTGGCTCCAGCATGATTGAGATTGGAGAGGTACCGCCATCAGATCATGACTCCCGTCTGATATCGCTCCTTCCTCACTCATGTGAGCTGGAGTTGGTTGCTTGGCTCCTGACTGGACCAAAACCTGTCAAGTCAGGTACCTACTTACTCTTTCTGCAGTGCGTTGCAAGATCAAGCCAAGGCTGCTTGCTGTAAGGCATCAGACCGGGCACTTTGACGACTCGGGTCCGTCGTCCAAAGCCAGACTCGCTGCATGCCATATCACGGGACAACTTGAACTAGAGTCTGGCACTCGGTACGAGACATCATGCGCTGCCGACGAGGCATGTTCGTAGGTACGGTCAATTCGATACGTAGAGGTGTACATGGAGGGTCATCCGCTCATCTCTCTTAACGCCCAGTATGCCCCGTAGTGCGCACTAAAGCCGTTACAAACTGTATCAAGATGGAAATAGGAAATCATAGTAGGTACCTAGGTACTATAACAATTGGCCATGAGCCTGGTAGGTACCCATCGGACGGACCCTCAGCTTAAATTCTGCTGATTACTGAATACATCTACACAGAAACATTTTCCTCCACAGTCACAAGAACCTCGATGCGGTTCTAATAAGGCAAGGAATGCCATGGAGTGAGTTTCAGTGATGGTTTGTCAACGTACCGGTATTTTCACTGAGACGTGAATGAAGACGGGACGTAAAGCTATGGTAGGTATGCAAAGCTATTGTAGCTCAAGGAAAACAAAAGTTGACTGTGAGACCTGTAGTTATGATGGTCAGTGAGCGCCGAATTCCCCAGTGGTCGACGGTAGCAAGTTAAGAAACGGCTGCGAGCCGCAAATACAGCTACCCGCCCGATTGACGTTAATGTCAATTCAAAACTCGGTAGGCAAAAATACCATTCTGGTAATGACTCAAATATTCGGTACGATCAAATCAGGTAATTCCGGTTCATGTTTCACGAGGGTAGCATCAACCCCAGATTTCCTATCATTTCAGATATCCCCTCTATCGATAGCTAGGTAGATATGCCGAAGTTCTTCCGCGGGAAGGGGTTGCGCTCTGACTACCAGTGACCAGAGCCGTGATTTGACACCCCATGTCTTTTGGTTGTTGGGTTCCCTATGATATGGATAGCATCAATCGTAATATGTGTTGCTTGAATCCCCAAAACCGGATTTCTACCAACCATCCACACATATCCCGCCGTTGGCGAGGGCGGAGGACCCTTGTGGCGTCAAGGGTTTCAATACTCTGTCTGAGGACAAAAGATTGTGGCGCACTCCCCCTGATGGTTGGAGATATGGTTGCCGACAAGAAATGATACTGCTCGCTTGGCAATCCAGTTATGGTATTAGCTTACATCCTTGGCTGACCTGGTCACTCTGCCAGTTGACCGCAAGGCATGGTGATGACTTCAATCACGACCTCGGTGTGATTGTACTCGCAGCTCCCACAACTTCCCGAAATTTTTATGACTTAACGCTTGGTTTTTTCATGGCCCATTTCACCGGTTGTCGGTATTTGCCGCGATGCTTGACTGAAGTTCACCATCTGAAGCAACGTTTTGTCGGGACATTGTGACCTTTCATTGCGATTGCGTCTGAGACAGCCGCACACAGATGACTGTTCGAAATGGCAAAAGCCTGACACAGTATTTCCAGTAGGTGTCAGAATAAGAGATGTCACAAGGCTATGGTATCTCAGTATATGTCAAGGCTGCAGAACACTGAGGCTAGCGTGACCGAAATCGACCAAAGTTCGAACTCACAGGGTTGACGGCGGCGACCTCAATTATCCAACGACAGGCTTGAGGAGTGTAGACATGTCTTGCAAGACATAAGATGGGAATAGGGCTGGACAACGAGAGGATGTGAAACATGGCCGCTACCCGCCGTAATCCGTGAACCACACACCGGATAGTATTGTCTATGGCGTGGAAGTAGTTATGAACGCCGTTAAACCGCTCAGTTCCCGAGCCACTCCCGCCAACGGCGTGCGTGGGTCTCGCGGCGCGATCCATTGATACCCGGTATTTGCTCGGCAATATAAGCATAAACTGCCCGATAGCTATGTAGGTAGCCGCGCTCGTCCATGACAAAAGTGATGAGACCTTTGCTTCGCGGGCGATCAGCCAACTACTTGAGAAACGCGGTTACAAAGACTGTGATAGGGCTCACGAGAACTCGAAGCTACATCGGGTCAGGTCCCAGTGGGAGAGTCATATCCAGAAATTACCTAGAAATCAAGTTCAAAGGTGTAATAAGGGCGCTTGGATGCGTGGTAAGAGTACGACCAAGGCATGATGTCAAAGGTCTCGACCATTTTGTCCAGTACGAGCCGCGTACAGCAATAATACTGTGTTGTACTCTGGCGGGGGTTTGAACAGCGACTTCGCTGCAACCTATTCGGAAACCGGGACTCCTTGTGATACTCGAAAAGTCTTGGCCTACTTGGACGAGGGCTTGGATCTTGGCGATCTAGACGCCCAAGAAGGAAGAAATAGACGAACACGAATCATATGGAAAGAAGGGGCGTGTGTTGGACGAACCACATACTGGGATGCCACTCAACAAGATGGACATTTTTCTAATTACCATCATGTTGGGGGGGTAATTTTATATTGTCATGCTCCGCCCCCAAGAGGCTATAGTACACTAGTACCGGTGGACTCGCGATAAGCCACAGTTTTTTCGGAAACGATCAGGGGTCCGACGAGCCAATCGCATCTTTCCCCTTGGTGAAGTAAAGAAGGCAAAACGTGGTGTTCCACTGCTGACCGGTGGTCAAGACGGGAGAGGAGCCAGGAAAGTGAGGGTGAAGGTGGGGGAGGGGGAAGGGGACTCGCTGTGACTGAGGGTTTGTTTGGAGTGACGACTGGAGATGGATAAACTCCATCCATGGTTCGGGAGTGAACATGTGACCGTGACGAAACAGACGTTGGATTAAACCATGAGGATCCAAGAGATGAGATGAGCATTAGGTAAAAGGAAGCGATCCCACTTGGCCTTGTGTTGGTTGATACTTATTGACAGATGCGGTGCATAGCACCTTTGTCTTATGGAAGACTGGAGGGCAAGACTCCATGTCATGACGGGAAGGAATTGGAGTGTGTTTTTCTGTTGCACGGCATCCATGGATGGAGCATGGGATTCCGAGAGCCAGGAAAGGAACGGAGCCAGACTGATGATATGGTCTCGTTTCAAACCCAATCGATATCATGATGATTGGAACCCTGTGTGCTGCTGAAAAAAAAAAGAAAATCTACCGAGGACGGAATGTCACTCATGGCACGACCCTCATATGAACCGAGAAGATTGGGGAATATATCAGATCAGGCGGGAATCTGCATCGAAGAAGCACACGCCATCCTTCGCCATTGAGATGCCGTCCAGTCCGTGGCGGGAGAGGAAGGGAGGGCGCCTCTCGGGAATGACGGACAGCGACAGACAGCACTGCACTGCACTGCAGATTATGACAGCTCGACATTGACAGGCAAAACATGTGATTCGAGGAATGGAGATGAGGGGGGACTGGAGGCAACAACGGAAGGGAAAGGGGAGCAAATGTCAAGGGGCAGAAGGTGCGACCTGAGTGGAAGCCCGAACGGTGGGACCTCGGCGTATGTAGAGGTAGGTAGTACCACTGCAGTGTACCATAGTAGTACGTTACACCGCTGTGCATTATTCAGGTTCTGCCCGATGTTGTACTGCATGTAATCATGCCATCTCCCCCATGACGCTTGACTGTGCCTCATTGCGGTGCTGCTTGCGGATTACGGATTGCCCATCCCAATTGAGCAGTCCTTCCTATGCATGCCATTGTTCCGCGCTCCGTGACTGAAAAGGAGTACACCAGGTAGCGAACAGAAGGGACGATATCCCATTATACAAGAATGGGAATGAAAAAAAAAGAGAAGAAAAAGAAAAGGACAAAAAGCAACAAAGTATGAATCTCTACCAAGGTAAATAAATACCCAGTCCTCACAAGGCTCGGTTTTGATTCTCGGTTCTCGGATCACAAAGGTGTCATTGACGGCTTGTGGCCGGGGCAGGGGGGCAAGGATGAGGTGATAGTACGGGGTATGCTATTGTCCAGGTTGTTGTTCCTTCTCCGAGATGAACTTGCTTCTTCTTCCATCAACAAGTCAGAGGACGGATTACATTTCTTTGACGGGCAACAACCGAGGCAAAGTTTTCTCTCTCCGTTGTGTCAAGATACGTACCCTAGCTAGTTTATGAACAAGGAAAGGAAACTAAGAGTGAGACGACCCAAATCCAGATCTGTCGGTTCCTGTTGTTGATCCCCGAGGGTGCCTGCCCCGAACGGCTGTGGCTGCGGAAAGAAAAGTCCTTTCAGCCAATCATAGCACCGTAAGAAGGAGGGGCAGGCCGGGCAGCAGCGGGAAATTGTGGGGCGCAGAATTGAGATCATTGCCTGGCCAATCAACATCATTTTATCTTGCGCACTTCGTTTTCAGCAAATATTGCCCGTAGTTGAAGGAACCCTCCCTCCTGCGCTGCTGAAGACTGCCTGGAATCTCTGATGAGGAAGCTCCCGTCACCTACCTTAGTTGTGCCCGTCGTCACTTGCCCCTGTCACGGGACTTGCCGGTTTCGGTGGCTTTCTCAATGCAGTAGTGTAGTCACCAGTCCAATTTGCGAATAAATCAAGGGCAGTTTAAGACTTCGAGAGCCTCGACCGTGCTGGACCGTGACACCAGCGAGGCCCGGACATCGACCGCCGCCCGCGCTCCCCCCCCTTCTCCCACTTCCCGCTCCGCTGCCGTCCGAGTCCTCCGTCCCTTGTTGTCGGGATTTACACGGCTACACGGTTATAAGGAGGAGAGTCAGGAGTCTGGGGTAAGATGACAGCTACATACACTACGTAAGTACATGACACAAGTACCTCCCTCCAAGATGGCGGAGACATCTCAGGGAATCCGCTTGCCGACTAGTGAATATTGACTCCCCTCAGTAGGTACTCGCTGTAGACCAGTGCGCCGTCAGCAGGCTGGGACTCTCTCTTTACAATGGAGTCGCGCGTCGCCTACCACGGAAATGACAAGACTGATAGCAGCAGAGATATCATCAGCAGCCAGACGGGATCCACCAGCAACCCGCTAGCTCTCTCTACCCACCAGCAACAGGGAGACATCCTCGCCATAGTACCCGCTATATCATCGACCGAAAGACCTTTGTCCGCGCCATTCCCAGGCACATAGCAACGTCGCAATCACGAAAAACTGCCAAGCCGGGCCGTAACTGTACTGTACATTATGTACAGCCTTTCTCGACATCAGACCCTGATCCCCGCCCTCCTGCTGCTGCTGCTGCTGCCAGCAGAAGAAAAATAAGCAGAACAAGACGTCGCCGAGGCACACACATACATGGACATATACAGAAACATGAACAAGCAAACATGGAGAGGGTAAGCGAATTTAATAATATCAGGAGGAGGCCATCAGACAACCGAGCCAGACCTCGTTCAACGGCCAGCTCGCGAATGGTGGCCTACGCCCAAATTAGGTAGCCTACCTATCCGCGGCTATCCAGCCGGCCATTACATGATACCTCGATACTGCACTCCTGGCACTACCTAGGTATTCGACACCACACTAACATCGTCTCCGCCCAGGATTAGCATGACCTGAGCTAACATGTTCCATCTCCGTGGGATGCATCAGGAACCAGCAATGGCGCCGGTCTTAGCGTCTTTCCATTCGGTCCCAGTCCCACAGCCCACTGGCACACTGGGGTCCTCCTAGCCACCCACACCTTTCCCCCCTTGGCCCCGTTATTGGTTGCCTGGCAGACCCGGACAGGGCACCAAAAGAAAAAGTAGGTATGTAGTGTGGTGTATGACAAACCCGCGGCACCGTATCGTAACCGATGTCAAGACGGCCTGTTGTTGATGTCATGTACATTGATTGCACAATGGTCTGTCTGACTGACTGACTGACTGACTGAGGATCTGGCGGCTCTCTCTAGAAAACAAAAACACCAAGGGAGAATCCCGCTAGTGGAGGCCATTCTGATGGTCCATCCAACGAGGGAGCGCTACTGCACCGCATATTAGAGTGCTAAACATACGAAACATCCACCAATTGCCCTACCCACACCAAGACAAATCCAGAGCAATCCCGAACAGGGGGGCAATCAATACTGTACACTACAAGCTGGAAAATGGCCAAGCCAAGCGAAACGCTACCGTCGAACGCTACGCTGGACGGGGACCACCACACTGGAGTACGACGGACTGGACCACACTGAGAAATCGGAAACCTCCTTCTTAAACCTCTGCCGGCTCCCCCTCCCGAAAAAAAGGCCCCCATTGTCATTCGCTCGTTTTTGCCTCTTGTGTTGCAAAGGCTTGCACAACAACAGAACAAACAAACAACAACAACAACAACAACAACAACAACAACGACATTATCATTCTGATCCACAAGCGCAGCATCTGTCGTACAGTACCTGTCGAGAGCTGTCGTCACTGCCGAATACCCGCCCAGGACAAGGCGAAACCCCCCCGCTCTGCCGCCTGCGCCCGTCCATGTCGGCTGCCCACTCATCAACCACAACAGCGACGCCCGCTTTGCTCTCATAGTGTGCAGTGTGTGACCGATTGGTGTGATGGAAGTACGAGTCGCAACCACACAGAGCACTTCTTCGTCGCCGCCGGGCGCTGGCAAGTATCCTCGCCGCGGAAGACGCGAGAAACCATGGCCGCCCTCTAAACAGCGGAAGCTGTTGCGCCTCTATGTCTGCACACAAAGCGAGCGCCTGCCCCTGGTGCGCATTCTCGAAAGGCTAAAGGATGGCACTTTTGACCCAAGGTGCGATCACCTCTTTTCCGTAATATTGCAGTACTAGGTGTGACGGTGATCATCACCCAAGCCCCGGGATTACTGACTCGAGGATCGTCATGTTTCACAGGCAACGAAATTCTCACAAGCACCTCAAAAATCTATTACCAGACCGTCGCATCGATGACTGGCGACCGAGGGACCTGGCCTCGATGTTGGTTCGAGTGCGCTTCCTTAGATCAGTCAGAGCCGAGAGGAGGATGAGGAGGAAAAACCGAGATCACAGGGCACGCAGCAGCAATACGAACCAGCACCATGCCGCCGCCGACATAGAGTGGAGATCGCCGACGGGGTCCCTGGGCAGTCGCATGGGAGTGGGTATGGTGGACAGGGGGGCCATGGATACGGATATCATCATGAACTTGGACGGAAACCCTCTCCGCAATAATCAACACATCCACCATCACCGAGGCCGTCACGATTCCGCCCAGTCATCACCACAAGCCTTGCTATCCGAGTCGGCCACAGCAAGCCCCGAAACCTCGCACGCATCCCACGCGTCATGTCAGCTTCACCAGTCACCCATCAACTCCCCGGAGACTTCGCACACCTCTCATGGCGCCCCATCGCACCGAGAGAGGTCACCAGTGAGGTCCGAAAAGTCCATGTCAAGTTCGCTCAAGTCAGCCTCGGAATCCCTTAGGTCGGCATTCAAGAGGAGGTCATGGGCATCGGTGCTGTCGAGCATATCGTCGGGTATCTCCAGTCTTGCCCGTTCTTCGTCATCGGCATCTTCCAAGGGGGTTGGCCATAGCGAGAACGGTCCTACGGTTGCGCTCAGCAAGTTGAGTCGAGATGATTTTCTTTCTCTGCTGGAAGAGAACAAGCCATTGGCATCAGCAACCAAAGCAAAGGTTGCCAAGGCGCTGCAGAACCCCTTGTTCAAGAAGAAGTACTCTTCTGTTAATCCCAAGACGGAGGAATTGAACAATGCGTTGCTTGCCATGTGCTGCTCGGCTCATATTGAAACCAGCTCCCCTCCTTGTGTGCATGAGAGACTATCCAAGGCCATTGAAGCCCAGGACTCTGAAGGTCATGCCTTCCGCAAGTTTACCGTTACCGACGAGGAGGCCAATATGGTGGACAAGTATGGCAACATTCTTCTGCACGTCGCTGCCCGATGGGGCGCCCGTGTTTCCATTTTGTTGTTGCTTCTGCGACACACTGATGATATCCAGGCAGTTAACGTTCGTGGCGAGACTTTTCTCCATGTTTACGAACCCCCAAGTCACCCAAAGCTAAGGCCAGCTTCTTTCATCAACCTTGTGCGACATCTGCGATCACGGGGCTTCGACTTTTGTCAACGAGACGTCGAGAAGCGGACATTTCTACAACACCTGGTCCCGAAGAAGACCTTCCCCATCGAGATCCTTCATTGTCTGTTCCGTGAAGTCGGCCACGGGACGGCCCGCTTTCTTGTTGCCAACAAGTGCTCGGCTGACGAACGACTGTGGCACTGCATCCGCAAGAACCTTTCGTATCAATCGCCCAAACTCCACCGCATCTTCGGCGACGAGCAGGAGTTTGTCCGGCGCTATCTCCCCGAATTCATGGGGGATTCCTCGTGCAACAACTCGACCCGCATTACCATGACCTCCGACTCGGACAGTTGGCGCGGCAGCTCAAGTCGCGGCAGCACCGCCAGCAGCTCCCAAAGCATCAAGCGAACGCCCGTCATGCGTCTCTTGTGCAAGATTGCTTCCGGTCGAGACTCGGACAAGCACGGGGGCGAGGCAAACCTGGACCAGCGTCTCGAGGCCCTCCTCGGCATCGGCCCCAAAACCACCAAGCAGGACATCGAAGCCTGGCTCAACGAGCGAGACACCGAAGGCAACTCGGCGCTGCATTATGCCGCTGAGTTTGGCATTGTGGCGGCTGTCAAGTTCATTACTTCGCATGGCGCTCAGGTGAACGTGATGAATAACTGCGGCAACACTCCCCTTCAGCTCATCAAGTACGCGATCCAAAGGACGGACGTCAGGACAGATGTGTACATGGAGGCACGATATTTACGCTGTGCGGTGCTTTTGTTGGAGAGAGGAGCATTCGATCAGAGCAAGCTTGTCAGCGAGCGAAGCGTTATCTACCCGTACGATGTGTTTGACGGAAGCGAGAGGTGCATTACCAATCTGGTGAAGCAGGGTGTGGCGTACGAGTGTCGTGGCCTGCATTTGCTATCCTCATCAATAGCACCGCATGGGCCAGCAATGTGGATGGATGAGAATGGACATATGCAGTTTGCGCAACACTCTTATGATGAGGAAGGAAATAATGGGGAGGGAAGTGGACATGTGCATGGGCACGGACATGGGGGATACGGGATGCCGATCGGTGCGGGCGGCATGCCGATGCATTTGGAGTTTCAGACTTCCTTTCTTGGTTGATCTCGGTTGGTGATCTCTTTATGGAGTTTTGGGTTGAAAGGGGGCAGGAAAGGACGATATGAGAAACGGAGAATGGCGCATAACACGGGGAGTTGTTTGGATAAGAAGCGATGGCGACGTAGGGGTGGACATTTCCTTTCTTTTTCCCTTTGTCGGCTTCTTTCTCTTCTTTCTATCTTCTCTGAGATGGACTTGGATATTTCACGGCTATGGGGCCTCGCATCAGCAGGCGACAGGCGTTCAATGCTCTTTCATTATCACCAAGGGTCTTGTTGCATTTGAGAGCCATTGTAATCATCATCATCATCCCCTTCCATTTGTACATTTTCCGGGGCCCTCATTGTACTGCCTCTAGTTATCATGACTGTCTGTCTCTTAACCTACGGGGCAGACGTCGATGAAAAGCTCACGATGTCGACGAACAAAAAGTTATGTCTCTTACGTTTTAGAGCATCGGGATAGGTTCCCTCCGTCATTGATGCAATAAAAGTACATACATGTCGACTAATCCCTACCTACTTTTACATGTCTACTCATGTCCTACTTCCATCTTTAGTATCCTTCCTTTTGTTCCCTTTTTTCTAGTGTAAACATCCCATCACGCAAGAGCCTTGCAGATATACTACTCTTAGCGCCGGAGATCTTTAATTACATCCACAAAACCCCCCAAAAAACCAGCTTTCCATTACTATAACAAACCAATAATTCCCAGATGCTTCCAACACACTGTCTCCAAGACTGTTCAAAATGCAAGTCGTAAACCCGGAAATGCCCCACTTCTGTACCTCTTCTATGGTAGGGGCCAACGCCATCGATCATCTATCCAATCTGTCGGAATTGTGTTTGCTTCCTACTCTACGTACACGTGTGAAGAAGCTCAGGGCTTACTCCACCTGAAATTTCATTGGGCTCTTCGATTACCATTGGGCTCCTCAACTGGCTCAGCTAGATTGGACCAGATCTTGTTTACTCTCCCGTTCTCATGTAGGGCTCAGGGGTAAAGGGCACTGAGTTCAGGGTTGGGATTGGGCTTGGGCTTGTGTAACGTCACTAGAGTGTAGTCTAGAATAGTCTTTGGAGTAACCGTGACCAGTAACCCTAGCCCCCCTTGCGAAGAAAGAAGAGCCGCATCGACGACGAGCACACCTCTATATAAAGCACTTTATCTGTTTCGGAAATGAAAGGAGGGGGGATCATCATCCAAGCGAAGTCTAGGCCCAGCCTACCTACCTATGTAAGACTTGGGGTATTTAGCAGGCGACATAGGTCAAGGGGAAGTACCTACACTTAGGCTGCGTTACACAGACTGACTGATACCTTACACAGTACACCGCTGGTGTGACGCCCACACACACCGTCACTCACTGAGACCGTCACTGTCACTGTCACGCCGATACCGACACCGATACCAAAAATGGAGCTGGGAGATCGCATCCGACTTCTAGACCTGTCTCAGTCACCATCCATCACGGGAGTCGCCTGCACGCAACGTATATGTCGCAACAAGGGAAAAGCTATAAAGGAACCGAAGCGAGGTAAATGTTACCTAGGTATCAACGGCTCGTACCTACCTACCTACCTTGGTTCTAGTCAAGAAGAGAACCCTGAATGGCACACTTTTTGTTTGATATATCTAGAAATCTACAATATATGTGTTCGGACTTGAGCCCGAGCAGAGCAGAGCACTTGGGAAGGTGTTTCACTTGTAGGGGTCTTACCGGAAGGACAAACGTTGGTACCTACCTACACTTTATGTCGTTCCCAAAATGTCAAATTTCAGTAGGTAGGTATCTAGGCAGGACAGAGAGTGGTTTCGCTGGTTCCACCAGAACTGGTCCCCGTGGCTACCTCTATGCTCGCGCATCGATCTCAAAAGCACGGCACATTAACATGGAATAGATTGGACTTTGCGATACACAGCCTCACATCTAAAACATATATGCTGGACAAAGTGATTCCCTGGCGGCCTGAAACGAAGTGCAGCTTGAGTATCCTGTTGAATGGCCATTTATATGACCGTTCATTGTGCCGTCCCGGGCTACACGACTCCGTAAGGCAGGACGAGGCATTGTAGAAAACACGGCACAAGGAAGTTCCAGATTTGGTTGCTGAGCTTCGGCTCGGTAGGTATTTAGCCTCTTGTCCCATATCATGTTTCCAAATTCCGCGCGGCTCTAATGTCTGCGGCGTTGGGCCAAATGCCCACCAAGACGCATTACGAAGACATCCAAAGTAGGTGGTATGTCAATATTGCGTTGTGCAGTGGAGAGGCAGAATGGGGATAAGGATGTGGTGTATGTGAGTGGTGGGCAGGGGAGTTATGCTGTCAGGGTTTGAAGGGAGGTGAGGTTATGTGGACAGGCATGGGTTACTGACTGTATCGCCTGTTACTGTAGGTAGAGAGAGAGAGACGGCTAGTCTGGAGGGCTTAGATAGGGTACGAGAGGGAAGGAGCCAGGACTCGAAAAGATGTTGGCGTTGATCGTGGTGGTGGGGTGTTGAGTCGATTTTGGGATGTTAAGATGTTGACGTGGTGATGCCGGTCATGGTGTTTTGGTCAAGTGTGTGCGCTTGCTCGGCGTCCCGTGGAGGGAAAAAGGCCAGCACTGTAAACGATAATGGAAGTACTGTGCATTATGCATGTACCCACTGCGACTTTACCGCTGAAATCACTTTGGATGCTTGTTGTTTCCTCGTGAAATGAGCGGTACCCTGCTGTCGATTGGACCTGCGTTCATCTGCATCTGGAGGCCTGGTGCCTTCCCGGCCTCGCTTTCTTGGCCATTTACAGCAGCTCCCAATATGCAGAGGGAAAATTGGAAGGAGGGCGACCGGATGACCATTGAATGCGCCGTAAGGGTTTTCGTTGCCGACAAGGGCGACTGCCTCAACGAAGGTATTTGGAATCTGCCCTCTGCGGTTTTACCTTGTTTTTCTTTTTACTTTGTTTTTCTCTGGTAGATCTCGCTCGACCCAAGTTCACTACATGTACCTAGGCACCTCATCTTCGATCTCCACGCCTATTGGATTCTACCACTACGTCAGTTCGATCTTCGCGCAAAATTCACCACCCTCCCCTCCTTCCAAATAACAACCCTCCCTCAGCTGGGCTAGAATACTCAAAAGTGGAAGGATTTAAGGCGATCCGGCTTCAGTCTGCTGTCTGGCACAGCGGGGTGTGTTGAGTTCCACAAAGGGAGGAGATGTGCTGCTTCCACCTCCGACATCTGGAAGACACATTCGCCCTGCCATTGCTCGGCTAGAATCAGCCTGGGCAACCTATCATGGATTCCGTTGGCACGGTGTCATTCTGTGAGTGTTACCGCGGTCATTTCTTATGCACCCCCAATGATCATTCAGCCCCAGGTGATGTGGCGGTGGCTATGCATACTCCTGTGTCGAGAAAGTCGTTGAAACGGCGATCTGCATATGGGGTCGCAAAAACGCCCGATCAAAGTAAGGCGTCACAAAGTTATTGGACAGCGGGTAGTATGCTCACAGAGCACAAGCTGAAGTAGCAGTGCCCGATGAGATAAATCCAGATATATGAGCATGGGATGGCCTCAATCAGAATCCTTCCTTGTCTTCAATGCTTCTTTTTTACTCACCTCAGGCTTCTTCTGTCTTCCATTCTTCTTTTCCCTACAGGTACGAACTCACGGTAAACATGAACGGACTTCGGGCTCTGGCAGCCAAAGAAACCTGGCATAAATGCTACTTCCCACCCGACACACGGTACAACAACGCCACTGCTATCGAGGTCCGGCCAGATCCATATGATCCAGGTACCTGCCATTGGCACACACAATGCGCAGTGAATGATCTACTCCTAACCAAATTCCTTGAACGCGGTAATCAGGCCTTCAGCACACCTGAAAACGAGGATCAAGGAGAAAACAGACCCATGAATCATGGTACTAAATTACTCATAGTAGCTACGAGAACCTTGATATATTTCTTGATGAACCAGTCAACCTTCCAGGACATTGTGTCGACCCTGAACCCAGACCCTCGATTTAATCGAATCCTTCACGCACCCCCCAACTCCTACTTTGAGTTTTCGGGCGGGATTGCGAACGGCGGTATAGCGACAATGAAACTCATCGCTGTCGGTGTCATGTTCAGGTTGTCAATTCGACAGCACGCAGAGGACCCTTCATTTGATTCAAGATGCGTCGCATTCATGGTTAATCATGGCAATGGACCACTCGAGTTAGTGGAGGGAAGTTACCTCTACCTAATCGATTGTTTGGCAAATGTGAAGGAAGAAGCGTGTTCCCCTCTTTATTTGCCGTTTTCTCTATCGGTATTCACAGTTCATACCTGTCGCGACCTCCTTCGCGAGATTCGATGGTGTATGTCTTCAGCTATGAGGACAACCAATAACCTGCTTGGTCACTTCAAGAAAGGGTACGGGCGAAGGAATGGTACTCCAATCGATCGAGAGAGAGCTATTGAGCAAAACCAGTACATAGGGCGTGCTCTGAACCACGTGGTTTATGTCACATGCGTTTTGGACGGCGTGGAATCTCTGTGGCAGTACCTTGAGGCTATGGCCATAGAAATCCCACCATCGGCCAAAACCGAACAGGTGATCCAAAGCACCAATAACATATTGGAGGCGATTCGGTTCCTACGGCAGGAGGTCAAAAGTATGAGAGCGGCATTGCGCGAAAACGAGGCTCGCGTCCGGGACCAGGCGTTACTCGTAAGTTTCTCTGCTCCCCTACTATTCCCCTTGACATGTCTCAAACAGCCTACACCTAATCACCAACACTCTTGGGGGCAGCCAGGCTGCTCCTAGAAATCAATACAGCTAACTGACTACCTACCTACCTATCCCACTACCTCCCACAGTTATCATCCCACCTCTCCCAAACAGACTCAGAGACCAACATCGAAATCGCCCATGCAAGCCGTGACTTCGCAGCAGCTGCTCAGCGGGATAGCTCAGCTATGAAGAGTATCGCCATCCTGACCATGTCCTCCCTCTCAGGCATGTTCTTCGCCGCGCTCTTTGCGATGCCTTATTTTGGCAGCTGGGATCAACCTCGGCATTTTGTACTGTACTGGGCATGTACCATCCCGACTACCATTCTCACGTTTGCTATCTGGGCTGCCCTTACTCAGCGATCGGTCGTGGTGAGGTGGATGAAGATGCTTTGCTCAAACTGGCCTTGGGGATTTTGGCAAGGGAGACGAAGGAAAGGCTGTGTGTTCGAGGGAAATGAAGAAAAGGGGGAAAAGGTGGTTTGAGAGGTGAGATGGAGGGAGCAAAGCAGGTGAGGGGAGCTGATGATCGACTTGTCGGCAACTGAATGCTGAATGGTGCCATCCGAAGGACTATGCGAAGAGGTATTCTTGGACGTGTGCTGTGCTTTACTTTATTGAGGCGTTCTGCCTCAAATCTTATCGGTAGTAGGTAGGTATTCTAATACTTGTGAGTGTTCTTAACAAGACATGCACCTATAGTTTCGGATGGGAATATGGGCGCCACATCACTGCCTTTCCATCGCTGTGTATCACCACCGCTGAACAACTTTCACATCGAGACAAATGTTGACAACAACTGGGCCAATTCATGAAATCTTCCTTTCTTTTGTCCTTCGTGTTTCTGGTTATATAACTTGCAAGATGTAGTAGTTCGTTGACAAAAAGGCCGGCGGATGGCCTCTTTTCAGTCCAGCACGCAGCTACCTTAATGTTGGCAGCGTACCTACACTACCTAGGCAAAGGTCAGGTAGGTACCTTATCCTTAGACACTCCGCATTACTCCCTCGACTACCGCCCTTATGACTCATCCCAACATAGAATCTGGTATTGAGAGGGTATCAAGCCCCTCTTTCACCTCTTTAGCAAAATCGATCAGCCATCATATCAGTCTGTTGCCAACAGCCTGAGGTGGAGGTACAGCGAGCGACATAGACCATAGGTAAGCATTGAAGTGAAGCCGACACATTACGATTTCAGGACAGCGATGTTCAAAGGTCAAGTTATTGCGAAGATGACACTCAAATACCTGCATACTTGCACAGGTAGTAGTTTCATGGAAGCCACACCAAACCCGTCAATTCTCGAACCCAACGACAAATGATCCATCCCCCCTGTGCTGCTATGTGCCAGACTTTACATGCCAACGTCAACCCTCAACGCCAATGCCGACAAACATGACCCATAACCCTGCTCTATGCCCCTGAACGAGGATGGTACCACCGACCAGAGATGCTGAAAAGAGAACCGATAAATCGAGGTAACAGTCGTCGATAGAGGAAACCAAAGCCGCTGATCTGTGCTGAGGCCCGTTGTGCCGTAAAACATACTAGTCGGGTGCTGGTAACAGGGAAAAGACAATGCCGCGAGAGGAAGGCTATACCGAACGCCAATAGGTGCTGGTTAGGTATGCTGCATGTCCGTCGTGATTTTCTGCGTTCTCGTCGGGCTTCTCAAGCCTCGGCCAGTACTTCATGTACTGAGCAAGGCGCTCTGCCTTGGTTCCCGGGATGGCTTTGGGTCGGAAATTCGATTGCCCGCGGTCGATGAACTCGTGTGAGGGAAGAGGTAACGGTGCTGGCTCCGGCTTTGGCTCTGGTGTAGTATTCTTGCTGGTGGAAGTCAAAGGTATAGGTGTGCAGCTGATGAAACCGCCCTTGGAAGTTCCACGTGAGCGTCGCGCTGGGAAGTAGCTCCTGGCCTTTCCCCGACGAGGAGGTTCTGCTTTGCTCCCGTTGACTGCCGAGGTATTCTCGATGGTCTTGTCCTGAGCGAGGAACGGGTGCTGAGCGAGTGCTTGGCGGGAGGCGGAGCAGGAACGTTGTGAGTGCGTGAATTTGGACGGTTGGAGGCAGGGGAGTCTGTTGTTGACCTCATTGGGATCCTTCGCCGCATTTGGTTGGTTCTTGTCATGGGTTTTGGGGCAATGTTTTTCCAAAGCAGTTTCAAGACGGCCCAGTAGCACTTCGAAGTAGTTTCGGTGAGTGTCGCTGTTCTCTGATATATCCAAATCGTTGTGTTTGGTCACTTGGCCCAGGGTGTCGACTTTATTGTCGATGGAGGAGTGCGCAAGCATTTCAGCGCGGCGTGCTTGAAGGTGGTCGTAAAGTTTTCGGTGAGCGTTGTACCAGACGTGAAGTTTTCCTGTCCGGCGAGTGTCTTTGAGGAAAGCGGCTACGTGGTTGAGAATGAGATCATGTTCGTGGCTCGAAATCGTCTTGGCCCGTTTCTTTACCGGGCTATCAATGCTGGTTGCTTCCAGCATCCTCTTGGTGCCTGTAACGAAGGTGGAAAAGTCATCGGCGACACCCAGATCATCCTCACTGCGCGCAGGGAATGGCTCACTGCTTGAAGCCATGATTGCAAACGAATTAGACTGTGAAAGCGCAAGTTGATGGTCGCAATATGGTTGGAAATGCCGTGTACAACATGTGTTCGTTTCCACTTACATTGCGGAACAAAACTTTTAGGGCGAGGTACTACCAGGTTGGAATATTTATAGAATTTGGAGCGAAAAGGAGAAACAACCTACACTAGTGAATGGAGGCCGACCTTGAGAACTTGACCTGAATCCCAATTTGATCCTCCACGGTCGCGAATCTCATCAAGGTTTGAACTGGATCCCCACAACTCTAGTCGGACGTACATCCTTCCGCTACTGTCTGATCCGTATGACGGCGAGGGCGAAGATTACGGCGAAGGAAACGGCGTATGTGAAATGGGGGCGCGGGTGGTGATGGCGATAGTAGCGTGAGTGAGGAACCACCACGTGCATCCTCCGAGCCTACATCCTCCAATTCTGTATCCCCCTCCCTTTCCTCATCCAAAAACCCCTCCCATTCTTCTTCCTCCCAGATCACTACCCTCCTTCTCCTCTTCTTCCATGCCTCCCTCCTCCAAAATACAATGCTCCTCCTGTTTTTCATCTTCTTTCTCTTTCTTTTAGGCTTCATTTCGTCATCCCCCTCCTGCTCCTCTTTCTCTTTGTCGTCCGAGAACCCTTCCCACTCTTCTTCCTCCTCCTCTCTCTCCAAAGTCCAGCCATCTCCCGTAAATTCTTCTTCTTCTTCTTCTTCTTCTTCTTCTTCTTCTTCTTCTTCTTCTTCTTCTTCTTCTTCTTCTTCTTCTTCTTCTTCTTCTTCTTCTTCTTCTTCTTCTTCTTCTTCGTAAGAGGTATAAGGGAACGCAGAAGGTATAAGACCACGCGAAGGTGAGGTAGACGACCCCAAATGGGACGTAGGTGAGATATGTGCAGCCTGTGGAGTAAAAGTGAAAGAGGGGACAGATGTAATGAACTGGGAGATAAAAGGGGATATAGGCGAGATGTAAGGTGCTGGGGAAATAGGTGGCTGGTGGCGCGGGGATGGCGTTCGGGGATAATGCCCTGCAATACCGTTAGAGGTGATGATACCGGCGGTCGGGTCATTATACGGTTGTTCGGTGCTCCCGTCGTTCGTACCCAAATTCGGCGAGTTGTCTGAATCGGTACCGTAGTGGGAAAATATGTTTCCAGACATGCGTTGTAGTTGTTGGACAATAACCACAATCAATGTTTAAAAAACAATGCATATTTCTTATTGGGGGTAAGCGTTGTAATATAGTATCCTTAGTTTTGGAGCCGGGTCGGGTCCAAATTTCGAAATTTCTCAAAGTCTCAAAGTCCTACCTTCCTTCCCCCCCTCCCAGCGACATTTATCAACGGAAAGAACCAGCCATTTCCTTCAGAAATAACCAATTGGCTTAGTAGTCAAGCGGTTAATAAAGTAGTTCTTTATTTTCGTTCTTGCTCGTGACCTTTGTTCGATTCCTGTTCGTAACCAACTTTTTGGGGCTATTCCCAGCCGGAAGACCTTCAAAGTTCCAATACCAGCCTTTAATTTAAAGACCACTATTAAGGCTACTAAAGTATAGAAGGTTATACCCTATACTAAGCCCTATACTTTTGACTTCTGGAGGCTTGGAAGACAATTAATGTCTGGAAAACAGTTACTGTTTTCTAAACATTGATTGTCTGTTAGACAACGCTTGTTGTGACTCAGGGTTTCCCGCTTCGGTACCTGTAGGACTGATCTCAATGCTGGGAAGGATGGTAGGGGTCTCGGGTGTTCTTTGAGGTGATAGTGTCCGGCACCGCTGGCTGGAGCTTTGGCTCGAGTTGGTGCACTCTTCGTCTTCGCTGAAACCGTCACTATTGGAGCTGCCATCATCGGAGTTCTCGTCCTGAGTTGCCGTGGCGCCCTTCAAAGCATTTTCTCCGACAATATCCCATAGCCCACTGAAGTGGCGGTCCTCGAGTTGAGTGTCGGGGCCGTCGACATCGTCGACAGGATCCACAAGTCGCGGATATGTGACCATTATACGCTCCCGAGACTCTTCATAGACTTCTACTCCGCCACTCTTCAGTCTTTTAACCGGTCGAATATCCTCTTCAGCATCAAAACCCCTTCGGGTCCGTTCCACTTGCTCACGGTCAGCTAGATTCATGTCTACGTCGGCAGTTTCCCAGCTTTCGCTTGCCCGGACATCTGTTCGCCTTTCGTCTGAGCTAGACGAAGCAGTCATGTGTGTTGGTTGTTCCATCCTTGCTGATAGAGTTCAGCATCGGACAGCTATGAGGATGCTAGCGGCGTCTTAAAGGGAATTGTTGTCAGTTGATGGGCGGTGAACAATGAATCAATGAACAACCTCCTCAAGAGTAAGCTGAGGCGGGAGCAAACAGATATCCAGAAAGAGCGAGCTGTGATTCATACCTAGAGGTACACTAGAGGTATCAAAGGCCATTATTGGTGCAGTCAAAGGTCTGAAAAAGCGCCTGTCTTATTCATCACTCTCAAGTGACCTCAGAAATCGGGAATGTGCCTCCCTGATAAAGAAGAACAAAACCGTACCAGGATGTACAATCAGAAAACTAATGAACCTCAACCACTTCTCGATCTCCACCCATCAAAACCGCCAGCATGCCTATGGCTTCCTTCCCATCAACTATTCCCCGTGCCTTTTTCCATCAACTATTCCCCGATTCAAACCATGACTCGCAAACTGGGCTTGCTGGCCAGATGCTGGGCCTGAGCACAGCAACTGGAGCTTGCCGTGGCGACGGATGCAACGTCAACGGCGAGACAGGAGTTCAAAATTTGAGGCTAGAGCCTAGAGGTACCTAGGAGACTGGTACAAAGGAGGATGGATCATGATGAACAATCCACATTCCACCCCCCCACCATTCCGCTTCAGTCACGGAGTCGCTTTCCATAGCCCATTCCTGGTCGTACTCGTTGTCGTCGTCGTCGTCGTCGTCAAGGTAGAATGTGTCTTCGGGCTCCTGGTCCTCCGGCTCCGACCCATGATCAAAAGTATACCCTGTGAGTCGGAAAGCATCCATCCCTGGGTAGCGTGGCCCCTCATGCAACGGATCGCTTCCGATGTCCCACTCGGCGTCTTCCTTAAACTCGATAATGACGTGGGTATATTCGTCTCCCGGCCCGTCAAAGTCAGGCCAACGAGTATATCGAGACAAAAAAGGCCTGAAGCCTTCGTCTTCGGGTTCGTCCTCGTCCTCGCTGTGGTGTTCATCGCTGTCATAGTCATCACTGTCTTGGTCATTGTTGTCATGGTCGATGAGGTCATCGCCGAAGACTACTTCAGGCCAGTCCTCATCCTCTGAATCATCCTCGTCTGAGTCTCCCTCGGAGATGGAGGTGTACGAAGAGAAAGGAGTGCCAGGAAGCGATGGTGAGGAGTCACCGCTTGACCTGGAAGGAGAGGGCACGAGCGAGGCGGTAGCTGACGCAACATCGCGAGGTTGCGTTGCCGAAGGCGAGGGGAAGCTCGCAGGTAAAGTGGAAAAGAAGGGAACCTCAGAAGGTGAAGAATCAGTGTCTCCATCGTCGCCCGACTCGAGGGTCTCTTTGGGCGAGATGATGTCTCGCTCCGGGATTGTGGGAACATGTTGGAAATCATCTTCAATTGTGGGCAGGATACCGTGGTCGTGAATCCCGGCAGCATGCTCGGGTGACGATGTACTGTTCTCGTGGCCCACCATGTTGGACTCGTCGTCTTTGCTCGCCTTGTTGCTCTCGAATTTGCCGTCATCGACGCTTTTGTCCTCGGTCAGGGCTTCAGGGGCATCGTGGCTGGTCTTCAACCTTTTCGGTGAACGACTATCTTCGCGGTCCGGTAGATGTCTTTTAGGTTGCTTGATATTGTTAGCCCTGTGAAGAAAGGAAAAGTAAGCGGTACTACATACGTTTGCGCCTGTATTGGGCGAAGGAGAATTGAAATCCTGATCGGCCATCGTTGATAGTTGACTTAACCTCGAAATGTATATAGTATGGTTTTGGCTTGATTGCTGCAAGGTGTTGGTTACTTTTGTAGGCACTAAATGATCTCCTTGGAGATGATCGCAGGAGGAACATCCGTTTTTTCGTGGAAGAAATAGGTAGGTAACCCCTCCAAAGGCTATGATGAACAGAGTGAATGTTCAACCTGGAATCGATTGACCCTTCACCTGAAGTTCCAAGCCCACACGTCGATGGTGAATGATCCATCCTCAATTGTCCATGCACTCGTCGTAACAGGAGCGATCCAGAATCTGAAAGCAAATAGCCGACGATCAAGAAGGGCTAGGCGTAAATAAGAATATCTGTATCACTTCTCCTTTTCCTTCGACACCACTTAGCACGCAACAGTACTCGTTGCTCATAGGATCTCCCAAATCCCTTGCTTTCTTTACTTGAAACTTCTTTAGAATATAGACATCTCTAGGTACCTGCTTAGCCATGCCTTCAGCCGTAACCGACCAGAACTTACCTTCCATGGTGTCTTCAATGCCGCGGCAGTCTTCAACAAAGACGCCCTTTCCTGGTGCTTTTGTGCACATCACCACCACCACCACCACCACCACCACCATCACCACAACCCTCACCATTCTCAACATGTACCACTTTCCCGGTACCCATAGCGCAGACCCAACAATCACATACAAAACGGATCATAATAAACAATCCACAAACCTCCTCCCCACCACTGTGCTGCTTCAGTCTCAGTCTCAGTTTCGCTATCAACCTCCCACTCGGCATTGTCCTCATCGTCTTCGTCGTCGGTGAGATAGATAGGCTACTTCGATCTGCTGATCACCATTCTCAGACCGATCATCATGTGTAAAAGTATAGGTAACCCTCCAAACGAAAAACGTTCATTCCAGGGTATCGGATTCCTTCAACTTCAAGCTCGGCCTCATCGTCCGACTCATCGTTGAAGGAGTATCTACAGTATTCGTAGGTTCCTTCGTCATCGGAAGCATCGAAATCAGGCCAGTGGGTCAATGTATCTGGGTGGGAAAATTTGTTGTGGGACTCCTTGGTTTTGAAACTACCTCCAATGCTTGTAAGATTGGCTCCTCCACGTCCGCCGCCTCTCCCTCTCCCACAGGCCCGACCGACTTTGAACCCAAACCCAACAAGATACTCTTACTGACAACAACAGTACTGGTAAGCCGCCTTCGTTGTTATCGTCGTTACCCTAGAGTATACGACCGCTACGGCCGCCACTACCGCTCACTAGCGACGGCTGTTGCTAGCGCGACGCGGCGGCGGCGGGACGGTATTCTCCTCGTCGAACGGCTCTCTACCCGAGGTCCCGCGAGGGCTAGGGCGCGGAGGTTACAGGTTGAACATCTCATCATCCCAGTCTTCTTCGTCTGAAACATCTTCGGAGATGGACGTGTAAGATGAGGAAACTGACGGAGGCGAGGGCGAGAAGTTGACCCTGCTGGAGGCAAGAGGTTTAGGTGTGGAGGAAGCGGTGGCCGACGAAGCTGGTGTTGGTGAAAGGTAGGGTAACTCTGCGAGAAGCAGAGATGGAGAGGGAGAGGGATTCTGAGGCTGAATCGGCGAGGGTGGGGGAGATGAAGCCGTATGGGGCAAGGTAGAGTTGTTTTTGTCGTCCTCTACGGTCAATTCCCGGGACCTTTGTGTTGCATGTGTAGAAGAGGTATCATGCCCATCTGTAGTAGGCTCGAGATATTCGGAACTGATTTCATTTGGGTCGCCTTCGATGGTGTGGACAATGGTGTCGCCAATGCGTTCTAGGGGTGGCACATTGCTCTCGCTGTGGCTCGGATGATGGCTGACCTCGATGCTGGTAACTGTCTTGGCAGATGTAGAGGGCTGTTGTGGCTCGGGTGAGTTGTAATCGTTGATCGGAGTGGGTGATTTCTTGTCGTCGCTTATATAGTCGCCACTAGAACTTCCCTCGCTGTCACTGTCGTTGGTTCCGGTGCTCTGTAGTCTTTTGGGCGGATTTCGGTCTTGTTGGTCCTCTGGACTCATGCCTCGCTTGACCTGTTTAGTCTCGTTAGCCCGACGCGTGAACGGAAAGCGGCTGGTGATACTAACACTGCTGGCCGACTTGGTTGAAGGAGACTCGAAGTTTGCGTGGGCCATGCTGACGATTTCCGTTCGAGTTGTGACGTATGGCTCGTTGCGACAGACATATGGGTGTTGCCTGTTGGGGATGGCAGATAGATGACTTCCTCGGAGGTGTTTTGAAGAAATAATTGTGGTAGGAGAAGATAGATGCTTCCTTTGAAGGCTACCTATGCTGAACGGAGTGAATGGCCCATCCTCAGGTTTTGAAGATGCCACTGAGCCAGCCCTGGAGCAACAGCCCATTCACAAGGATGGAAAGCGAACCTGAACCTCAAGATTTAGGGCAAGCCATGGAATTATCCACTCCTCATGCATTGTGCGAGTGTCCATCGTTGTCGCTGATGCTCCTGGCGTATCGTGGCCCTCCATATAAGGATGCAAAAATAGCACGAACACAACAATTAAAGAGAAGGACAAAATAAGGTAGTCAGTTTTGAAATGCGGACTCAAATTCGCTATCAGTATTCAGTAGGGTAGCTACGTGCCTCCGATCTACGTACGGACGAATAACGACCAGTCAGTCTACAGGCCCAATAAGATGCCTAAACTTCTGGTAACTCATCCGGCGATAGTCAATTTCAGCCCCAGTCAAGTGTGCGACGTCCGAAAGTCAAGTGAATTTTGCTTCCCAAGTAAGTATGATTGTGATAGCCTAAACGCTCGTTCGTCTTTGTCTGCGAGTTGGATGAGACGTGTAACGAGGGTGAAGAGGAGGCAAAAGATTCGGTCTTCGGTGCGCATTCTCCGTCTCCTAGGGGAGCTGTTCGCTTTTCCTGGGTAAATTCGCAGGAAGTTCTGTGGTTCCATCTGCAGTCTCTCCACCCTCTAAAGCTACTGCAAGCTTTGCGCCAACCTTCATGATGCTTGGTGTGTCATTGATCGGTATCCCCTCATCCTTTTGCTCCTTAGTTTCCTTCGCCTCCTCGACATGATCGTGACAGCCAAAGTCAGAGATGTCGAATAGGGATTCATCCTCGGGGACATCCGAATTGTCGTTCGAACGACAGTTGTCGGTACTGGGATGGTCGACAGGATGCTCAAATGCGTTGGGTTCTCCGTTCATCCCCTTCAAAATGTCCTTTACCCTTTTCGCTAGCCTCCTAAGGGCTTCCGGCGTATCGATGATCTCGTCGATGGTTCTTGTTGACTGGCTCTCGCCTTCAACGAGCTTGGGAGAGGATGGCGATGTCTTTGGCAACTCCGTGGACATGGCTGCGGAAATGTTGAAGTCGATGCTGGTTCGATATGGCGAACGGTAATTCCAAGATGGAGGCAGGAACGGAAGCACGGAATGGTGGGTGGCTTTTGTTCGGACTTAGGAGAAAGAGAGGGCTTGACGGGTTATAAACGCAAGGTAAGTCATTACAGGAAGTGAATGAGAGAAAGCCGCAGAATAGCAGTCACCAGAGCCCCTCTGAGCTCGAACAGCAACGCGTTGAAGGTTCACATCCCAGCACCAGGTTTGGAGGCCGCGTTATTTTGCGGCCATGGCTGCCCTGTACTTCGACCATTGTTCCAGAAGGTTCACTTGTGGATTAAATAGTGGCCGACCCATGAAACTCCCATGATAGAGGGGTGAGGCAGTGGCAATATATCCAAAAGCTTTGGAGGGATACAGTGGCTAAGAAAGAAAAAAGGGGGGATGTCGCCAAAGATGATTGCATGACAAAGCGGCTTGTAAGGCAAATGCCATATGGTTTTTGTTACCAATGTTGTCATTGTTTTTGATCTGGTTTTCCAATCTTTTTCTTGCCTATTTGCTGTTCTGCGGTGTGGTAGTTTCGGCTGGCGTGTTTGCAAGATGGCTGACCGATGATGTTTCTGGGTCGTACTCCTGCTGCTGAAATGGATTGCCGAAACGACAGCGACCACATCTACCCAGGCACCTCACGGTCGGCTCGGGGAAGGATATCATAGTCTCCATCCATAACTGTTAAAGGTGATGCGCGGTCGCTTGTGGTAGTTCTCATAGTCGGCTTCGCTTCTGAGCGACTGGCTTACGGGATCTCTGAGGAAGGGGTCGACAGCTCGATTGGCACGGTTGCGGTTGTTGAGCTCGTTGTGAAAGGGACCCATCAAGTCCACTTGCGGCGAATCCTCCAGGAAGGGGTTCTTTGGAGTTGAGGAATCTCCAACGCTCCACGGCGAGGATGATATGTACTCATCCTCAGGGGTATTTGCTTTCTCCTTCTCGTTCTTGTCCCTGTCAGAGTAGCCGTCGTCGTTGTTGTCGTCGTCGTCGTCGTCGTCGTCGTCCTCGTCCTCGTCCTGATCCATGTCGCCATCACCATCAGCTGTCGTTTCCTCGACCATGTCAACATCGTCAACGTCGCCAGACACTCTATCCGGCTCTGGCGATGTTTCGGACTGATCTTGCTTCTTTTGCGTGTTCAACATGACAACCAGCCCTTTGAGGGTTTCTGATATCTCCTTCCTCGTCAAAGTAGCCGACCCCAGCGATACTCTGTGTTGACCTTGTTCCTTGTCCCTCGTCTTTGCCGATTCCTGTTCGTAATATGCGAGTAACTTGGAGCGAAATCTTTGACGTATGACCTCATCCAGTAGACCAGTCGCTTTCTCCACGGCCTGCTCCACGACTAATGCCATGCGCAACCTTTTACGTCTGACCTCGTTCGCCTCGTCAAGCGCCTGCTCCGCAGCTGAGGCCATCGTTCTGGACCGTTTGGGCATGGTGGGATTCGATGTATGGTTGTCGAGCGCTTAGACTTTGCGAAGTTGGGTTGAGTGGTGGTCTTGCGAGAACAGCTGGGAGAAGGAGGTGCGTTGAGGGCTGGAGACGGTGCCGTGGTGGGTATTTAACTGCAACCGATGAGCCATTCTTCGATAATCCCCCAAGTGCCGCCATCTCACTTCCGTCCACCAGCTATTGTGCATCGATAGTTACCTTCACCCATACCAACATCCTCTTAAGAGGCAAGAGAGCCTTTGAATGGCCGGTTGGGATCGTGAAACTTGAAGGTTTTGGCTCCATCGTTTGGTCTTGAGGTATTCTGTCGCGACTGGGGTCTCAATAACGTGTACAATAGGAGGGACGGCGTGTTATAGGTTATTGGCGCGAGGCTGTAACAGGTGGAAATGGGGTGCAAAAGGAGGGAGTTGGGATGAAACCAAGGGTCGGAGCGGAGTGGAAAATGACTGCAGAAGAGGAGCGTTGTCGCCAACGTCAATTCGAGCAGTGCCTGTAATCCCATCTTACTGATCGCGGCGCGGCTGCAGCCAGGCGTCTCTGATGAACGCGCCTGCCTCCTAGTACATCTGATGCTAATACCACCATAACTCTCATATTGTGTGAAAGGTACACCCCGAGTGAATTGTGAATTTGCATTGTATTAGCTTGACCTGCCTGTCCTGACTTTCGCTCCGTTCGCCCTCGAAGGGGGGTCACTAATCACGCATTTCCCTCAGTCATTGGATGGATCCATTTCGTCACCCTGGACGCGCTCAATCACAACTTCAAAGTCTCGACGACAAGGTTTCCATAAGACCTCCATGTTCCTCCCCTTCTCACGAGTCACGGGCTCGCTCAACTTGTACCCTTGATATCAAAATTCAACGATGCCCAAAACGGCGTCCCTAGCCTGGACCTGTCCGTCTTGACAGGAACTAGAGTTCTATACACCTCTAGATCTCCGAACCCAAAAGATTTCCGGCTATTCTGGAGGTACCCGTGCAAGGTTTCCTCTTCGCTGTCGAATGTTCAGCGAATGCCCGAAAATGACTCCCATCTGCACGAACTAGACTTCGCTTGCATCAATACAAGAAGTGCATGAACTTGCATCCTCTAATTGAAATTTTTGATCCTGCAGGTCTCATTCCCTCGGCGCCTTATCAACGGGCATGAATCTGCCCAGTCCTTTGTGTCACCAACTTTTCCGCGCCTCTTGCTGTCTCTTCTCCCACTTGTCAACTCTCCACGGCTTGACTCCGGAACAACTGCTGACTTCAAGTTCTATCTGCTTGGGCACTGGGCGACGAGAATGGAGGTAAGTTCAGGATCAGTGTGATTTACGATACCGCAATGATTCGGAGGATACATTATGAGCTTCCCTGAAAATCTCGGCACATCCACCTTGACCCTTTGCTTACACGCACTCAAAGCTCCTTCCTTGGCATGTTAGAACCTAGAGGTGGGTACCTAGACACTACCAAATATCATCACCAAAAAGCACTTCAACCTTTCTACAACTTGCCATGAGGTATCATTCAAAGCGAAAAGACCTGGTGAAAACACGTCCAGAGGCAGTTGAGCATTTATGTTACCGTCACTCCAGCGTTTGCATTCGCAGCCCCCGCTTTTTGCAATGTATCAGAAATTTATCATCAAAGATCATCTTCGGACATTCCTGGAAACATTACAAGGCTTGGGGTAACATGATAAAAATTGGGTAGGTACCTACGCATACTTTTGGGGTGGGTGTGTGGTGGATTAGGTACCCTATTGTAAGAAGTCGGGAATGTCAAGCACGAGTCGACCTTACCGCTTCGTACAATGAAAGGAAAGGAAAGGACCTCGTATCGGACTTGGCAAGTCCATACAGCCTAGGAAGCGTCGAGCATCAAAATTCATCAAGAATCCATCTATTCAAGTCAAACGTCAATCACTTCGCATTGTGCCGTAACAGTTACTCTTTATCCTTGTGTCCCATCGCTTCCGTCGAACGTTTAAGACTCCTTTACTCATGTCCGATACATTATCACCATCAATCATTACAAAGAGCAAGACCAAGAGCAAAAGTCACCCCCAAAGTGCCTTCAATTTCGCCGATGTAAGTATATCCTCCAAGTAGGGAGGTAAGCTTGCTGAACCCATCAGGTAACAAAAAAAAAATTTCATGCCCAAACTGGCATCCCTAGCCGGGATCGATCTCATCCACCTCTATTCAGGTATCTCCTCCACTCCATGCCCACTGAGTACCTGCTATATCACGATTCACGAGCTCGCGCTACCCCCCCCTTCTCTTTTTTTTCTCCGGCGAACTGCCCCTCCTCCTCCTCCTCCATCCTCATCATCACACACTCAATCCATATCAAACCACACATCCGTCCAATCATCTTCTCGACGCCCATCGTATGCCTCCTCATCCTCATCAACCTCCTTCTTCTTCTCTCCCTCCTTGCGCTTAGCCTTAGAGGTAGGCTTAGGAGCCTCAGCCCAAGGCGGCATCGGGCCCGAACAACACACAGGGCACCACTTGGGTGCAGGCGTGGGAACCAGTCCCTTCCTGGGCTTTGCGCAGTCCGGGACATAGCGGGTCTGGGTTTGGCTCGGGGTGGGACTGGGTTGCCACTTGTAATGGGGGCATGTGCCGCTGGTGGTGGTATTGGGCTTGGCGGCAGAGGGGACATCGTCCGTCTTGGTGGTGGTGGTGTTGTTGCCCGACTTGGGCTGGCGGTGGTGGCGGCCGAAGCTCGCCGGGATGGTGACTTTGGTTCCGGTCACTTGGATTGTAGTGTCTGTACCGGGGACGGTGAGGGTGGTCGTAGTCGTGATGGTCGTGGGTTTGCCGGCCTTGCCGGGGAGGTCCTTCTGAGTAGAAGACATCTTGTCTTGCTATGATGTGGTGATGTCGAGAGAGATATTCGCGACGTCGGTAGTGGTACGCTGTGAAGTGGCGGCGTGGTGGTGTTGCGCTGATGATCGCAAGTGAAAGTAGAGGTAGGTAGCAAGAGCCGATTTCGTTTCGGAGGTTCGAAAAAAAAAAATCCGTTATAGAGAGACCGTCTATCGACGACTGAATTCAATGATGTGGAAAAAAAAACAGGGAAGAAGAAGAAAAGTCAGATTCCAGCAGGGGTTGCTTATATACCTCTAGAATTCAACCTTTGCCGCGAAAACCTTCATGCAACGTCTGGTGTTCGCCTTCACCATCGAAGAAGTGTCCTGTGAATCACTTCCATCTGCAGTTCAAACCTGCGAGGCTATCCAAGAAAAATAAAAACCTCATGCAGGTCTTTTCGCCTTCACCTCCGAATCCCCGCCCCGGTGTACTTCACTTGCATCTCCGGTGAAGAGGCAATCCTGTAGCATTTCATGAAACCTGGCGTCTTCAACTAAACTCTACCTATATCTGAGCATGTGATCCTGCAGGCAGGTTTTTGTTGGTGGCTTGGATGACTAGGTCCTTTCGCCGAACCTGATGTGGCGCCGGTAGGTAGTGTGGACTCTTCTGTGCTCGAGTAGGTATACGGTGTCTCATACCATCTGTCGGCAGAGCGTACAGCTCGATCCCACGTATATAGTTGGTTTGGCCCCTTCCTTCTCCATTACACTAAAACATATACGCCCCATTCGTCCTTGGTGTAGTATGTTGTCTGGAAGTGTTTTAAGGAATGCGATTGTTGGAGGGGTAGTACTTCCTATGAGGATGGCTACCTAGAACTGGACGTAGGGGGAAAAGTTGATGGTATTCATGAGCCTTCCATGCAAACATGTCGATGGAAGGGAGAAGTACATTGACTTCCGGTAGGGTCTTGTCTTGACGCTAGTGATGCAATCCCAGATTTGAAACCAATGCAAGAGCGGCATGAGGACTCGGACACAAGCTAGAGGTACCTTAGACGAAAGAATGGAGAGGGAAGCAAAGTTCTTCACCCTCAAGAGGGGGGCATGTATGGTTTCGCCATGCTACGTATATACCTACTTCGATCCTTATTCTTGATGATTCGCGATGATGGGCGGCAAAGTGCGACAATATAAAGCCCACACCATCTACGACGTGATAAATGTTCCATGCCCCGTAAAACATGATGCACGTTGGAAATAGACAGAATTCGAATAGTGAAGAGGAAAGCGGGAACGTAGGTACCTACCTACCTTGGATGGGTGTTATTCGTAGTAAGATGATGGTAAATGGTTGGAACTGTATGCTGTTGTAAAGACCTGTTCCTTAGAATGGTGGTATAATGAGTTGCCGTGTGACTTCTACCTATCTACCGCTTGCTAGTCCTAGAGGGATCTTCGCAATCCAATTGCAAATGATCAATTACTTGTGTGGCACATATCAAATCGCTCTTCTCTCCCTCTTCTCCTCTCATTGCACAACTAGGTATCCATCCATCCATCCTCCACGTCTGAGCTTGCCCGCTCTTGTGTCCAATGTGTCAGGAGCGTTCCAAGCCTATGTCTTCCACCCTCTCAGTCCCCTTCCACCCTTCCATTCCATTCAACACCCCGAGCTATTTCCATCGATTCTCATAAAACCCCGGGGCACTATCACTCGGACTTCTCGACGCCAGCCTAATGTACCTCTGGGAGCACATCTCCCCCAACCGCTGCGACAGCGGATCCCAATACTTCTTCAACCGTCTCTTTTTGTTGGCGAGCAAAAGGAACAGCTTTTCTTCCTTTACTTGTCTGTGCACTTTCGGCGCATCTTGGTACAACCCAAATTTTGTGCGTTCGAATTCGATTCTCTCGTAATGGTGGTAGTGGTCAAAGTCCTGCAGGGTGCGGAGGCGTATGGCAGGGGGTATGACAAGATCGTCGGAGCTGGAGTTGCTGCTGTCGGTGCTGTCGGTGTCGTAGCTGCTGTCGGTGCTGTCGGTGTCGTAGCTGCTGTCGGTATTGTTATGGTGATAAGTATGAAAGCTATTGTTGATGCTGGTGTTGCAGCTGGTGTTGGGGCTGGTACGGTTATCGTGCGGTCCCTCCTCTACCAAGAGGCTTGAGGCGTAAGCAGATCCGGAGCGAGTATCATGGGCTGTCCCGTGTCTATCCATGTCGACGTCCGCGTCTCTGTCGCTTGATGGTAGCAGTCTGCTCGAGGTCGAGGGAGAGCGGTCTAGGGAACGATAGTGAAGCTTTGCACAAAGCCGGGCATACTCGCCGGAAAGACGGGCGAGTTCTCGAGACTGAGCACGAGTCATCCTCTTTGCGCTATCCTGTAGACTCTCAAGCTCTTTCTCTATTTGCTTCAATCTTGCGTGGAGGTATGTTTTTCTGTCTGACTCGGTAACACTCTCACGAGCTTCGTTGTAAAGACTCGGAGGAGTGTCAACAAAGGGGTCATCCAAGGAATTCAGTGCCGCAGCTTTTTGTGCCCATTGCCTCAGATTTCTGTCGACCTCTCGTTCGTACCGGCCCCCGTAAGTCGCATTCGAAGCTTCGACATCTACGTTGTCGAAGATCCCGGCCAAGAAGATGGGCGAATAATTGTTTCCTTTCCTAGCTTTTTCCGGTCGCTCACACGAAGATCCGGCTTCGCACTTCCTCTTGGCGTTTGGGAATACTGTAGGGATATCTGGTTTGGCTGCCGGTATTTGGACTTGACATGAGCGTTGGAAGTCCCGAGAACTGATTGGTTTTTGTGGGTTTGAATAATCGCGTGGAGGAGGTGTTACTGGATACCTAGAGTTCCAGTTGGTAAGCCAGGAGCCAAAATGCTCACTTGGGCCAGTTGTTGGACCCGAGCTTGCTGTGGCGGTCCAATTGGTAGCATACCTGTCCATCTTGTGTCGCTAAAGGCTTTGGTGAGGTGAAAATGAGTGGTGTACGTGAAGCTTGTGTGTCTGCCAAACGTTTTTTGAGCTTGTGAAGAGCTGGCTCTGAAAGCAGCGTGGTGACAGGGTGACGGTGTCCCGTTAAATGATGGGGAGCGTATGGAAAATCCGGTGTCCGAAGAACCAGAAATCTTAACCTACACTACCTGTACTTTGACTCCGGCGAGACCTTTGGGCTGAGGGGTTGATGCAGATGCATCATGCAGCAATATACCAAATGCAAGGTGGTTTTCGGTGTGGCCGCCGGACTGGAAAATTCATAGAGGTGCCTGCAAGTATGTATATGCATGTATAGTTATATTCCCTGCACTAGAAACGCGGTGATAGGATTTGCTAGTCGTCTGGACTTTGGGGAAAATGACACAGCAAGGGAACGCCCGGTCACCAAACTAATAATAAACCACTTGCCAGACACCGACTCCAGCAGGAGTAGGGACCGATAAGGGTCTCAGAAAACAGAGGTGACTGCACGGTCATCGACACAATTGACTTGGCGTACAGTCGGTAAGCAGCCCGATGTTTACCTCTCCGATTCAATCTGATCCTGATCTCGGACCTTGAATCGGCTTATCGCATGAATCCTTTTGTCATTCTGGAAGAGGGCGGCCAGCTCAGACATGAGTCCTAGCGCAAGACAATCACATGCTCGGAAGACCATGTGTAGCCTCGACTCCAGAAGTTCCAAGATTGAGGGGTATTGTTTCATGCCCTGACTGGAAGACATAGCAGTCCATGTGTGTCGAAATCATGTAGATGTGGCCTTGCAACTCGACTACCACTGCTGCCATGGTGAACGGCGACGAGTTTCTATCGGTTTCGGATCCGAAATACATCCGAAATCTTGTCGGGCGTTGGAATGCCACGGTCTTAAGAGCTATCGCACTGGCCAAAGGGTATTGGCTTCCGAGGCGCATCCTCGGTCGACTATCTGCTCAGTTTGAGGCAGCAGGGTGAGGTGGCCAGCCGATAGTAGGTGTATTGAGTGCCCTTTCCTGCCTTGTCTTTAACGTTAGTATAATGGAAAACACAATCACAACCTCATGTTCCGCTGTCATCACTGCAATGCGGCTGAACGTCAGTAAAAGGTACCGAAGTGGTCAGTAAGTACGACTTTAGTGCGAATCATGTCCATTCACCTTTGTGTCCCAATCTCGAAGCTGATGGAATCTTTGCTACTATTGGTCTTTCCACCACTTTCTTCATGCTCGTAGCCTGGGTCTAGCCGATTTGCGTCTTGAAATTGTCGTACTCGCAGAACCTTCTTTATGTCGGAAATGGGATACGTGCTGGTTGAGATACAGTGCAGTTGACTTGGGTAGAGAGATGCCTGAACAGACAGAAGAGGGGAGATTGAGATTCCTTCGCGCCTCCCGCCGAGATGCGGAGAACTGTTCACATCAAGAATACCTATCTGTAACTCTAGGGAAGGAACACTGTTTATACTCCGAGGATGACCCAGTGCACCTTCCCAATCAATCTGACTCATCATGATTGTCCAGATTGGGAACTGATAGCAGACAGAAATGTTCGAACAGATCAGAGATGAAGCAGTTGTTTGATAGCAACACACTGACAAAACTGCAAACATTTACACTTGTCTACAGGCTCCAGCCCAGTCTGACAATCTGACAATCCGTTTTATACGGCAATCTGATATAGTAAGAGGGACAGTGGGATGGATGTACTGGGGAGGTGAGCTGCCAAGACACTCGCTGCTGGCCCAACCTTGACCACTCCGATATGGATGGAAACTACTCCATAGCCATTATATGGATGAGCAATGTGAGTATTCTTTCGTGTACATTGCTAGAAATTCAAGTGCTCGAGCTATCACCGCTTGAAGATGGCGCCTGGTGCCGAGGTACATGTCCCCTTGTCGTCAATTTACCAGTTCGCCATGTTGGCTTCCAATTGTGGTGGTCAGTGCACCGCTCAAGCTCACTGCCTGCCGGAACAGAAACTCATTTCTTGCCCTGGACTCTCGGACCTTGAGCCTCCAAGGAAGAAAGCAACTGGAAAGCCACGGCGTCCCCGGTTCAGCGT